ACTTATACTTATCCTACTCTTACTCATCCATTTATAATTCAACCCCATACTCATACTCTCGCCCCCTCTACTTCTACTTATAAATACTCGTACGCCTACTTTTACTTATGCCCATATCCCTACACATTCTCGGATAATTCTTGTCATACTCGCAGCCCAGTCAAACTCGCGCGCTCGCTCGTTTAAGTCTCAGTCTAATGCCTTGTCGTACTCCTACGTTCAGTGGAGCGCCCACTCACACTCGAATACCCCTACGTCTACTGGCATTCTTTTCGGTATCATCTGTGCGCATAAAAACGTAGCATTTATTAAAAATCAAGTGACTGCCTCGAATTAGGCCCCAGCTATGACGCAAAAGCGGAAGCACAACCAGAAGCCAGAAACCTAAGCAAAGAAAGCGCCCTTATTGCTTTCAGCTGCCCGAAGCTTTTGGGCACCGTTATGCCAGCACACATTCAGCCACACACACACGCACACACACACACACGCACACACAGTCAGACACACACGCGCGCATAAAGCACACTAGAATGGACGCCACTTAAAGGCGAAAATTGAAGATTGTCAAACCTTAAATCCCAACTTTGAAGTCGAGACTTGCGAATAGGCTGGAGAGTTCCTTAGCCATTGCATTGGAGCCGAGCCCAAGAGTTAGTCCTAAGCACAAATATGATATTACAAATCTCTCGAATTGGCAACTTTGACCTACTCCAAACCTCCCACGCAACAGCTTTAATTCGTTTTTGCATTTGACTTTAAATACTTTAAGAAAAATGTGACTCAAAACAAGGCTGAAAGAGTTTTGCTCACCTGAAGCATGCCTAGATTATATACCTATATGTATATATACACATATACATTCATGAATTGATCCGGAGTTAAAGCGTTGACAAATTTGATGTACCCTTTGTCTCTCGAAAGGGCATCTCAATAATAACCGTAAAATGTCAACGTGTCAAAATCTGCCAGCAGCTTCCTTCCGTTTACGAAACGAAACACAAAAAATATTTTAACGCACACACACACACGCACGCACACACACATCGCACACATTCAAGGAGGCAAAAGGCTGGAATCTGCGAAAATGCGTAGCAAAACATGAAAATTGCACAGCCGATCGAATAAAAAGTATAAGCGTGTGTTGTGTTGAGAGTGATTGACTAGAAAATACCTCGTAAAGTGTATTAAATAACAAAACGTACCTTTAATGAAGCACAAATAAGACTTCTTCTGGCATATATTCTACATATCAGTCGATATTTGAGAGTTCAAGCAGACAGACTGCTGCTCAGGAATATATACCGTATATAGCATTGACTCGCACACATTGCCATGCACTTGTCGCTCAAATAGACTCTTTAGAAACTACATACAGAGTATTGATAAAAAAAAAGAAAGGGAAACGGAAATGCTGCAAGTGCTGAGCGAGTGCATATGAGTGTTTGTATGCGCGTGTGTGTGTGTGTGTGTGTGTGTGTGTGTGTGTGTGTGCGAGCATCCTAAATAAACAATTTAACAACTTGAAAATTCCATTTATTAACCTTTTTCCGCATAATAAAATTTGAAACCTTTCTACACACATATCCCTCACACACGCACGCACCGAAGAGACGAATTGCACAACGTAGTGGAGAGAAAAAATAATGTGGCACAAAACAGAAGAGCAACAGAACAACAACAACCGCAACGACAACAACAACAACACAAATTTGCTGGAGTGGATTAATAACAAAGTCAACAAGGATAACACGCCTTAATTATGTATGTACAGGCGTTAGTGCGCACTGTGCGGGATGTGAGGGGGGGGCAGTGTGGGAGGCGTGTGGGCGGGGGGCAATTGCCACGGGCAGGTGAATAAAATGCTGGAAGCGGCAGAGAAGGCGGAACCAAAAAAGCAAGAGCAGGGGTTTTTTGGGGACGAGCGGGTTAATACATGAAAAGCAAGAGGCGGTGCAGGTGTTTGCGGCTGAATGACGTAAATTGTAGTCAAACACAGCGGCAGCAGCAGAAACAGCAACAAACAAACAAACAGACAGACAAACAGACGGACAAACTGACGGACAAACTGACAGACAAACAAAACAGTCAACCAGCCAACTAACAAATGCGGGTCCTGGCCCGGCAGCCGCGCTCGGAGAGATCCTGTGGCACGTTGCCGTCTTTGCCACATTGATGAGCAGCAGCAGAGTGTGCGAGTGTGCGTGTGTGCGTGTGTGTGTTTGTGGGTGTGTGTAGAAGCAAATACTTGTTAGCGAATGCGGGCGCAGGCGTCGCTGCGAATGCGGCAGCCGCTTTTCGTATTTTCATAAATTAATTTCATTTGCGATTTGGCCTGCCAAAGCAATGTCAATATGTTGGTATCATTGCTTCTTCCGCGTCTTCTTCTTCTTCGCCTTCTTCTTCATTTTTTTTGGTTTATTTGCTTTCCTCATTTTTTTACTTTCTTTTAATTGGCTGGCGTATTTCAGGCTTAACAGCAGTTGGCACCCTCGACACCCGTTTCTGCCACTTTTGGCCTCACTTTGCATAAATTTAATTAAGACTTTAAACTGATTAAAAAATAACTTTGGACAGTTCCACATTTCTGATCCAAAAATTCAATTCATTGTTTTTTTAAATAGGGGTTTTGGGAAGGTTTGCTCAGAACAACCCAACTATTCAATTTTTGTAGAATTTTGTCTTTTCTTTAGATGAAATTCTTGCGAGGAGATTAAACAAAAGAATAATTGAAAAAGCATTTGTCAACCTTGATTGATAATATTGTTATGAAATATTATTATTAATATTACATTATTATTTGTTTTTAATATTATATAAATATCTATCCAAGTTATCATCTTAATGTACTTAAAATATTTAATATTTATATATATTATTAATAGTTTTGATTAATTAAATACATACAAGCAAATCCTTCACGAAAACTTTAAAAAATTCCACTATAATTCGCAAGCTGTTTTAGCATAACTCCATTAAGGGAGTTGCAGGATTGACAATGCCAATAGACACATGCTTAACTTGGATTGTTGGCAGCTTAGCAGCCAGTTAGGAATGAAATTAATATAATTTGCATAAATTAGCACTCAGTTGGGGGCCAAGTGCTGTGAATTATTAAATGAGGAAATACTTCTGGCCGGGCTGAGATGTACAATAAGAATTTAATTATGCCAGACAAAGCTGCGCTCAGCCAAGTACAAGTGGCATAAAACAGAAAGGCACACACACACACACACGCACACATGGCCACATAGTATGTGTGTGTACATAAATATGCAGATTGTTCGGAATTTAAATGAAAGTTTCAGCTGTTGAAACTACACGCGGATTTTGTTTTCCCAGTGCTGCAATTAAAATTCTTAATCGCATCCATTAGCCCCAGACAGAGACCAAAAAATAGACGGACTGTCAGACAGACAGACAGACGGACAGCGGGACAGTCGGACAGTGGGGCAGGCCGTCATATTTGAATGCATGCTCTCGGCTTCAAGTTGGGGAACTTTGCACTCAGATGCTGGAGCAACAATTAGAGCCCATTAAAATTGTATCATATGAAATTAAAGCGTTAATGAAAATGTGTTGACATGAATTTTCGTGTGCACCTGTCTCCACAGCAACAGCGCGAGAGTGGGAGCGAGATGGAGACAATAGGCGAGAAAGAGAAACGACCGAATAAATGCAATTAAAAAGCGTTCAGCGCATGAAATGACGAGCATAAAACATTTTCATCTCAATTTGCTTAATCATTAAAAATATATATAAAACATATATGCCTCGAAAATATCAGAATACACAAAAAATGCACTTTGATGATGTTCCCCGTTGCAATCACGCCAGAAGTCGCATTAACGATTCTATTGCATACTTTTCGGGGCAAGCCAAAACATTCAAATCATTTCATTTCTATCTTTTAACTATAAAAACTCAACTTAATTTGTACCATGAATTATATAACTATAAAAAACTTTCATTGAAATTCAAGAATCATGTTTTAATCAGAAATATAAAAAATAAAATAGACAATAGACAATTAATTGCGTTACAAAAAAATGGAAAAAATAATATAAATGAATTGTAAATTCAATTGTTATTTTATTTAATTTCCCATTGATAATTAAGGTATATGTGCATATTTTTAAAAGCATTTCAAAAGGGGGACAAATAAAATAAGCCCAACGCGTTGTTGCTGTTACAGGACATTTTTTTTAACTCTGATCAGGCTCTTAGCTTTTAATTTTTCTATTCTCTTGTATAAAATACTTAGTTAAAATACGAATTAACACCCGTTCTGTCGATCATTAATATGTAAATAAATAAAATATAAAATTGAAAAGTAGACTTTAATTCAAGTAATTTTTTTATAAATAAAATTTGAAATAAAAAACAAAATACTCTAATTAAAGCAGACTTGATTTAAAGTAAATTTTGTATTATAAATAAAATATATAAATAAAATATAAATAATATATAAATAGAATACATTTAAATAAAATATAAATAAAATATAAATAGGATAATACATTTAAATAAAACTTAAATAAAATACAAATGAAATAAAAAATAGAAATAAAATATTTTCATTAAAGTCTGCTTTTTAATTTTATTTCACAGCGTATGCATGTTTAATGTCTGTGGCAACAATTAAATTAATTTACTTATAACAAAAACAGCAAGAAATAAAATAGCCATAATTAAAGAATTGAAATTGCGAATGCCAGCAAAAAATTAATTGAATTTATTATCGAGCCATAATTATTTTATAATATTCAAATGTCAAATTCTGCATTTGCAAGTTTGAACCATAAAAAAAAAGTTGCCTTTTATTATTGTTATTATTGTATGCAAAATTAGGTACTATATTAAATTACACACTAAGGAATTTTCAACGTATATATATATATATTAATTTGGAATCTGCACTTTATGGGCAGGGGCAGGATTTGGTGCTACTTTGGCCTAATCGCATAATGGAAGACCCAAAGCCTCGAGATTACAATACTCACCATTTAGACAGAGCTTCGGTTGCGCTGTAATTTGTAATTTGTAATTTATTTTTGTTATTGTTTTTGTTTTTTTTTATCTGCTTTGGCACTTGGCAAAGTTTTTGGCCAAAAGAAATTAAGCGAGCTGCGAGCTGGTTTCGGGCTGCCGTTTTAAATACTTTCGAAAGTCATTAGAGGCCGAAGCGCATTTCAGTTTCAATTAATTCGATCTATGGAAAATGCCTTTGAAGTGCTTGACAGTAAAAAAAAAAAAAAAAGGAAGTTAATCGAAAATTAATGCAATCATAAAAGCAACCCAACGAAATGTCACAGCTCGAACCACACACACACACACACACACACACACACAGAAAAACAAAAAAAAGAGAAGAAACACGTAAAAATGTTTACAAATTAGCTACAATCCTCACCAGAATGTTTGCCCAGGCTGTTCTATCGGCAGGGATAGATTCGCTTGCTTGGCCCGCTTCACTGACTGCAATTAACGGTACAATAATTCACGCAAAAAAAAAAAAATAATAGATTGAATGCACAAAAGGAAATTTTTGGTAGATTGGCCAGATCTTGTTGGCCGCTAAAACTTGATGTTTACGCGTCGCTGCGCCTCCGATTCTCCGGCTGTGAAACGGACTATGTTGGACAAATCGCACGTGGCACGGACTACGCTGACTTAACTGGCTGCGATTCAAATTGGTGAACTGATGCGACTTGTCGACCGCTTCATGCGAGACCACGACCTCGACTGAGCGGCGGCAACACACGAGTCCACGTCGCAACGTCAACAGCAACGGCAACAGCGACCACACGACCACGGACAACAATTGGGACAGATGAGTAGCGACTCGTTGGCTGCACTGCTTCGACTGAAACTGAATTTCTAACTGAGCAGCAGCAGCAGCAGCAGCAGAAGCAGCAGCAGCAGCAGCCACGTGCAGCAGCCAGCTTCCGAGTTCGCGTTGCGCCCCGCTTCCTGCTGCCTGCTGCCCGCCAAATGCCGCAGAGTCCTTTGCCCGAGCCTTAACAGACGCATGCTTCGGCTCGCCTAACAGCTGTTACGCACACTGTTAGCTAACAGCAGCCGGAATGTTACGATATGTAAACAAATAAAACGCATAGCTTACGTCGCTGTCGGCATTGGCGTCAGCGTCGGCGTCATCGTCGGCGTCAGCGTCGGCTTTCTTTCCGTTCTGGCTCTGCCAATAGTTGTTTCATTTCATGCTGCGGCTGCCACGTGCAGCTCCAGCGGCTCAATGGGTAGCTGGCCTAGTCCGGCGGCCACAATATCAGATAAACTTCGCTATACCCTGGATTGTGTGCAGCAAATATTGCGGCTTTCCATTTCACATTCAATGCATAATGCATTCCACTTTCCAGCAACTTTCAGACAAGCAAAAACTTTTCCAAAAGCAAGTACTGTATACATAATCTATATGATCTAACTAATATAGGCACACATGACCTCTATATACTCTAACTGCTCTAGAGCATGATTAATGCTTAAATAAGGCAAAGCCTACATCTCGCTTGAATATATTGTAGCTGGACTTCATTTATTTATCACGATGATGTCTTTTGTTATTTCTCATTAACAATAGTTCAGAATAATTAATAATATTTAACATTTTTTAATTGTAATAAATTGATTAAGCGAATTAACTGCGTTCAATGTTTGCTCATAAGAAAAATTGTTTTAATGGATTACAAATTAAATAAAATCGGAATTTTTATGCAAATAATTTTTAGTAAAAAATAAGTTTAAAAAAGAAAGTGCAACTTATTAATTTTTAATTAAAAATATAATTCTAATTCTGTAAAATTTCAAAAGTTATGAATTTTTATTCAAATTCGAAACTTCACTTTTTTGCTAATAAAACCGAACTACAATTTCCAAATAGCAGACTTTTTGTGAGAGTTTTGCAACACTGGCGCAACAATGTAGTGTTGGCACTGGCAAAAAAAAAAAATATATGCTTTGTAAACTTTCTTTCCATAATTAAATGCTTAACAGTTGGCAGCTCCTAATTGAACTGCTCGCGACGTGGAGCCGGACAAGGCCTGATTGGGTGGCTGGGCGCCGTTTTGTTATCGATGGCTTTTCGCGAAACGCGAACGTGCGCGCAGCTCATTAAAGACGGCTAATACCCTGTTTGCCAGAGAATACATTTTGTATATAGTTGGCGAGCTCATGACTGAGAAAAGTCCGCGACAGATTGAGTTTTCTTTTTTTTCCATTTTCAACTAAGAGCATGCTTACCAATTTGCTTGCCAATAAAGCAGGACTCGCTTCTGATGATAATCGGATAAAGATTGAAATTAAATGCTCGTTACTTTGATCTTTTCCCATTAAACCTTTAACAGAGCATCTGGGCATCGAGTGCCACAAACTGCAGCGCGATTTGTTCCCTTTTTTAATTAACTTAATGAGCAATTAAGCGATATTTAGAAAACCCGGGAAGCCAAAGCAAATCCATTGACAATGGCCACTGCCGCTGCGAAACGTGACAAGCTGAATCGCTGGCAGGACGTTCATATTGTTAGTGTGGGAGGAGAGCAAAAGAAAAGGCGTAGAAACTTAAAAACTAGCCTCAAAAGAGATACCAGAAAATAAGAAACGCAAAATGCTCAGAACTGTTCGAAGAATCCTACGAAATTCATTAAAATAAATCTAAACCAGCTCAAACATTATTAAAATCACCCTTAAAACTTAAAATAAAGAAAATAAATCCTTAAAAAATAAAAAAACAATATTTTTCAGCTTTAATTTACTTAACTAACTGGTTCGTGTCCATACTAAAGCAGCAAACAGCATTACGTTAGTTAACAGCATGCTGCATGTAAACACTTAACATTTGCTTATTTTTCGCCTAGGTTTCGTTATATGTGGAACGTATTTTCCGTTAAGTTCAGTTCACAACCATTGAGACAGCCATAAATAGTTATGCCTTTACAAATGCTGCCATAAAACTGTTGTCCCAAAAAGCTCAACCGAAATAGGCATCAAATAGGTCATAAACTTGGCTTTAGCCAAGTTTCAAACACCAGCGCATAAGCTCTACATTGCTTTAAGCTGTGCCACTCTGCAGCTGTACGTGCTTTAGTTTATTAACCCCATTGCCAAAAGCTTTTGGCGTGCCTTAACCCCAAATCATTTCCAATAGATAGAATCAAAGGTGTTCCAGTTCCTTTGACACACATTTCTGTGCACTTGACGACGTTGCTAGATAGAACTGCAATGCAAATGCTTGGCTAAAGTATACCCTGTACTTTAAAAATTTAAAAAAGCACAACTTCATTCAAACTTTTAGTCCATATATATTATATATCAAATAATACAAGATAACCCGTAGAAAGTCTGAATTGTAAGGTCATATATATTTTAATTTATGTTTAAATACATATATACAAATGTGAATATTCACTTACGCAGAGAGTCACATAAAGACGCAGAATTATTGAATTGCCGGTAGGAGCGAGGCCGACATACAAATAACCGGACCCTTGAAAAAGTAGAGAACGAGTTAGCTGAATAATAGAATAAGGCCATAATAGGAGCAGAAAAGATACGTTGTTCTTAACCGCAGCGAAGAAAATTTGTTCACCTTTTGACATAAAAGAGCATACATACATATATACATATAAAAGAGCATATATACATATATACATATATACATATATACATATATACATATATACATATATACATATATACATATATACATATATACATATATACATATATACATATATACATATATACATATATACATATATACAAATATACATATATACATATATACATATATACAAATATACATATATACATATATACAAATATACATATATACATATATACATATATACATATATACATATATACATATATACAAATATACATATATACATATATACATATATACATATATACATATATACAAATATACATATATACATATATACATATATACATATATACATATATACATATATACATATATACATATATACATATATACATATATACATATATACATATATACATATATACATATATACATATATACATATATACATATATACATATATACATATATACATATATACATATATACATATATACATATATACATATATACATATATACATATATACATATATACATATATACATATATACATATATACATATATACATATATACATATATACATATATACATATATACATATATACATATATACATATATACATATATACATATATACATATATACATATATACATATATACATATATACATATATACATATATACATATATACATATATACATATATACATATATACATATATACATATATACATATATACATATATACATATATACATATATACACATATACATATATACATATATACATATGTATATACATATATACATATATTTGAGGGTACCAATTTGATATGCATTTTGACCAGAAATAATGTGGCCAGATTTAGATGTCAGATTGATTCAGATGCCAAACCATTAACAAAAAGCCAAACCTCGTGGAAATCTAATTTAATTTGACCTGTGTCTATATAGGTCTATATAATCTATATATATATTTAAGGGTACAATTTATACATGAATTTCGACCAAGAATAATGTTGCCAGATTTATATACCAAATTGATCTTGATGCCAAACCATGAACAAAACACACTAAACTTCGTGGAAATTGGTTGAGTTTTGACCGAGTTATGGGGGTGGGAAATTTTGACCTATATCTGTATACGACTGACTGACTGACTGAGGGATTGACTGACTTACTGACTGACTGAGTGATTGAAGGATTGGTGATCAACGCACAGGTCAAACTATGAAACTATGAACTAGAAAGCTGTTACCTCATTTAATGGAGGTGCACGCTTAAACAGACTTTGAGGAAATTCCACCAGGAATTATGGAAACATTTTCTTTCTTTTCATCTCAGTTAAAATATAGTTGATACGTGTTTCACACTCTACGTCCCACCGCCCCTCTTGGATATCAAATGCGTGCAAGAGGTTAAATGTTTCGAGCTTAAACTAATTTGCAAAGATCTTTAAAAGAATGTATTTGCGACATGTTTCACACATTTCGCAAGATCCACGTCTTCTGAGCGGAAAATGTTAGTCAGAGGTTGTAATTGCAAATACTTTAAGTTTCGTCCGATCGGCCTAAAATACCAGCTAGCTTAATATATAATGCACAGATTGAACAATCGGATATAGTATTTGAATATTGGAAACAAATGAATGTGATTTTGATTGATTGCCTGCTCGGCGGGAAAACGAGTTGAGGCCTTCATTTCAAAAACGGGTGTTTGTCAATAAAACTACCGATTCGTAAATATGCCTATTAATAGATAAAAAGACGAATATATTCAATATGCGATGGCCAATAAAATAATTACCTAAGTGAATAATTTCGAATAGTTTTACATAATTAAAACGAGTAGCTTCATTTACACCATGAATCAAAAGGGCCTTCAGCAAATATGCAAATAGATATATCTGGTTTTTTTTTTCCAATTTTGAATATGTTTGCATGCATTTAAGGGAAAAGCTTGCTTTTGTGACTAAAGTTTCAAATAATGTTGAGTGCATTACGAGTTTATTCGTTAAAGCTAATGTTAAATTTCAATGAAAGAGGCCAACGATTCGAACAACGAGAAAGTTGCAAAATGTTTTCACGACCAACAATAAAAACCGAATTATTTATTAGCTGAAAGAGCAACAAATGCAACAACAACAGCAACACGCACAACATTGCATTTAGGCGGGCTTGTTAATTAGGCAGATGCACACACACACACACACACACACACATACATAAATGACACGAAATCTAAATCGGCTTTTGACCATGTTTTTCGTATTTGCATTTGTTTCTTTCACTTTGGCCCTTTTGTCAAATGCGCTTTGACTTTAATTGGCCGACGGAAATTTGCATAATTAAATTGTTTAATGTGGTTTGCCAATTTAGCACATTAAAGATTCAAATGCGAATTAACCAATCGACTGACGCAGCCCAGCTGTCACATACCCTATAATCAGCTTGTCTGCTTTGCTGACGTTAAGCAGCTTAGTTCAAATCCGCTTTCTGCGGTGCTGCCAGACCTTGGCGCTGCAAGGTGGCAGCACTGCAATTGTTTTTAGTTGCCAGACACTTAACAGGCAGATAAACTGCCTGGTAAACTATATGCAAGTCAATTTGATAGCCATTTTAATGAAATCAATTCCAGCTGTTTGACCAACTGTTGAAGACTTAAAGAAGCGCGACTATGATTATATTTATCTAGGGAATAAAAACATTTAATTTACAATTTAGCAAATATAATATTAAGTATAACCATATACTGTATACCCTGATCCCATTGAAAATGTTTAAGAAAGGTATAATAGTTTTGTGCAAATGTATGTAACAGGCAGAAGGAAGCATAAAGTAGCACTCCATAAAGTCTATATATTCTTGATCAGCATCAATAGCCAGGTGGATTTAGCCATGTCCGTCTGTCTAGAGACTTGAACGTAGGTCCTCCTAATTAAAAAATGGTGAATACTTATCGAGCATCTTTCACTTTGTAGCTAACCTCTTCCGCCCCGCCCCAAGCTCAAGCTGCATTTGATGTTGTTGGAAGAGGGTTCAGGGTATCTCCTAGTCGTTTAATATATAATCTACCGAAAACCAACTCTTCCCCTGCTATCAAATGTGTCTCAATATCAAACATAATTTCCTTCTAACCTTGCAGAGGGTATCTGCTAGTGTCATACTCGCGGGTGAAACATTTTTACAAGCTGTAAGTTGTGCGAAAATTAAACTGGTTCAGCGCTGGCAATGACTGGGCAGATCATCTGATCGGCAGCCACTTGTCGTAGTCGTGGTCGTTGTCGTTGTCGTAGTCGTTGTCGCTGGCACTGAAGACAAAAGTTAATGGCTTTGGATATGGTTGACTGGCGGCGACCAAAAATACAATGGCTGTTGACTGTTGATCCGAGCTGGTGGCATGGTGTGGCGCATACGGGCTTATCGGCTGGCAAGCGGCAAGCGGGCGCGCGGCGTGATAAATTGCGGCGCTGATTGGAGGCAAATCAAGAGCCGTGGGATTAAGTGCGACAAATATTACGACATTAGACGACTTCGGGGCACGCTGGCCAGTCTGCAAGCTGGACTTTCGAACATGAATATGCATTCCGGCTCCGTCGCAATGCTCGCATATGTTTAAATGTGAAAATTTCAAAGATTTTCAAATTAAATCTGTATCGCATTCAAACTATTTTGTGGCCTTCCGGCCATTTAAATATTTCTTTGTTATTGTTGTTTTTACTCGGCTCTTTCTTTTATTTTGGAAATATTTAAATTCTGTTTTATCACGTTGTCTCATAAATTTTACCTTAATTCTTATATAAATAATATGTATATTATTCCTGAATTTCTGTTGTCCGAAAGTTTTTAAAATGTCACAAGAAAAAACGAAAAAATGTTAAGTCATGTGAAAGTATGCTAGAAACAAAAAATATATATAAAAGAAACTATGTCACTTGCAAAATAAATAAATTGAAATATTTGAGTCAAAAGTGCACGCCTAGCAGTTACCCTGTAAACTAAAGAAATTCGTTAGAAAAATATATATTTTACTTTTATATAAATAAATTTTGCTTTTAATGTCAGTGAAGAGTATCTAATTATTTGTAATATTATAATATATATATATATATAAAAGTAAAATGTATTATAATATACATGGACTAAGTATTATTTACCCGCAATCGTTTGTAGCTATATTCGTATTATAATACTATAATATAAATATAACAGTTGCATGGATATCGTTAACTTATTATTATTATGATTATTATAATTATTTTTATTAGAATTATTATTATTATTAACATTTTATTATTATTTGTATCCTACGACACATAAAAGACAGTTTTCTTGTAAACAAAAGTTGTTTGCAAATTGAGTTCAAAAATAGTTTTAATAAACCAATATTTATGCATTTGAATATCGTAAAAAGAATTCATATGAATTCATATGAAATCAAGGCAACAAATGGATTAGATATTTTCAACATGGCATAAATATATATATATATATATATGATATATGAATAATATAACTATATATATATATACATTTATGTATATAGGCATGTAAGTACATATATTTTATAGAAGGACGAGCACGTGCGCGTCTGCAGAAGCCATTTGTCCATAATTTGCCATAATTGAGCTATATGTATTTATGCATAGAATATTTTATCGATAAACCAAATTGGGAATATAAAACCGAATATTGCAATTTGCAGTAATTATTTTACAAATTTTATAAATTCGTAAAATATCACACAGAAATCTTTAGAGTTTTTAAGCATAGCTTGCATACAAATCTCTCCAATAATCCGTCCATAAGAATAACTTACCCAAGATTTGTTTCTTTCGAAGTTCTCTTTCTGTAACAATTTTCTTTTTAACAATTAAATGCATATTTATTAGACGACTAATGAAGAATTAAAGGCCTTGCACATGCCTTAATTTATATGATACTTTCAATTAAAACACAAGTTTATCAATTGATAGAACAAGAACTGGAAAACATTTGAAATAATATTTCTAGCCAGTGGACATCTATTTAGTCGAATGGCTTAAGAAATTTTGGTTGACAATTTTTTTTATATATTAAATAAATAGTTTAAGCACAATTTTATTAACCAAGCCAAAAAAAAAAGCGCAAAACCAAGTATGCAGAATTCACAAAATTGTTAACTCTCTAGTAAAACAATATTGGCTTTATTTAAAAAAAGTTTCTTTGGGTTGGTTTTGTATCAAATATTTTGACAAAATACTGAAGGCTTTAAGCAAACTAAAAGGCAATTTCTGTTGAAATTGGGCTAGAATTAGCTTGGTAGAGATTTCTGTATATTTTTGAACAAAAAAAAAAACAACACTTTTCAAAGAGTTTTAATTGAAAGTTGGGACTGTGACGCGGCTTAAAGCTAAGAATAATCCCAACAAGTTGAACAATATTAATTGATATAAATATATATATATATTATGATATAATATAAACATACAAGCGCTCAACCCTTTGTTCTAAACATGCACATATGCACCATTTAACAGCTGGCCACAAATGGTCTTAAAATGCTCAACTGAAATGTGATGAAATCTGGGATTTCACTAAAGGGAGGTGTGTCACAGCCCGAGCAAAGCTTGGATGTGGACTATGCGTATGTATATACATATTTATGTCGCTTTTATGTACACACTAGTATATGGTATATATATATATATATATGTATGTGTGTGTGTGTGTGTGTATGCAGATTATGAATGTTACAAATTTGGATAGCAAGTGGCTAGGATTATAATTTCTGGCTTATACGCATTAATGCATACATTAATAATTTATAGCTCGGCTATTTGAGATCGTGAACTTGTTTTTTGGGTTCACTGCAGCTGACGTTGGCGTTAACCTGTTGTTATTGTTATTGTTGTTGTTGCTGCTGTTGGCATCATTTCTCTTTGGATGGCGCTTTTCTTGGCCGCTTGGGTCTGGATGGCGTATAAATAGCGGCCAGCGAGCATAGCATCAATATTAGTAACTGACTAAGCTTCCAGGCTTAACTTCGTCTAACAAGAGCTAAAGCTGAACCCAAGCATAACCGACAACAAAATGAAGGTAAGATTTCGAAAAGAAATAAACCAAAATACATGGAGCCTTTTAACCATCAACGAACTCTGACATTTGTCCAGGTGTTTGTTTGCCTGATTGTCTGCGTGAGCCTCGCCCAGGCTGGCTTCATCGGCGGTGGCTACTCCGGCGGCGGCGGTGGCTACTCTGGCGGCGGCGGTGGCTACTCTGGCGGTGCACCCACCATTGTCAAGGTGATCCACGAGGAAGGTCATGGACACGGCGGCGGCGGCTTCGATCATGGACACGGACACGGCGGCGGCGGTGAGGTCAAGATTGTCAAAGTGATTCATGAGGAGGCACATGGACATGGTCACGGTGGCTTCGATCATGGACACGGACACGGCGGACATGGCGCCGAAGTCAAGGTCATTAAGGTCATCCAAGATGCTGGCTTCAGTCACGGCCACGATCACGGTCACGGCCACGGTCACAGTCACGGCGGCGATGTGAAAATTGTCAAAGTTATTCACGAGGAAGGCGGCGCCATCGATCACGGTCATGGCGGACACTTTGCCGCTGACCATGGCCACCACGTCGAGGACGTGAAAGTCGTCAGCGTCATCAGTGAAGGCGGCTACGGCGGCGGTGCTGGCGGCGCTGGCTGGTCCGCCGGCGGCGGTGGCTGGTCCGCCGGCGGCGGTGGTGGCTGGTCTGCCGGCGGTGGCGGCGGCTGGGACTAAGCGGTCCGATGTCCCATGGCTCAACACAGACTCCCATCTTCCCATACACCGCCATGTGATATGCCAGGCACTCGACTCATTTGTTTCTGTTGTCCGAGTTGAGCAACGGCATTAGCCTTGTAGATGTTGTTACTATATCTTTAAGACATCTTTTTTTTTTCATGTTAAATAGTTTATAAATTGTACAAAACGTCTTCAACTATGTTGGAAACCAAAAATTAAAAAAAAAAAATTAAAAACAAATCATTTTCTTTGCGTGCTGCCCAGCGGGTCTGACCCCGGGCCAGAGGTACATACATATACCACAACAAGTTCAGGGTCTTGTGCCCAATTTTGAATGCAGCTCTCCTAATTATGATCAGAGGAATAATTGTGCATGGCAATGCTGTGATCTATCATTAGTCAAGCATTAATTCCATCATTAGCTTCTCATGTTGTGTGGCAAGATCAAAACAATGCCACGATTAATATTCCTTAATCCAAATTGGGGCAGACAGATCTCTAGCTCAACAAATGATAATGATATACAGCAAACGACACATGGCCGGGCAATAGGTAACAATCTGTTATGTAGGTCGGGAGCTTAAATAAGACCCATTAATAGTTTGCCATGCAGTGAAAGGCGTCGTCGCATAACCCACAAATGGACCAAGATAATTTATGTATAGCCACAACTAACATAGACCGAGACAGTTGTTTTTTCTGTCGTTGCCCTTTCTTTCATTAGTTTTATGGATATTAAGTAACTTTAATAAGCTTTTTTTCGCAGCTGTAAGATTTTATATGTACCACTCTTAAATTGATGTCAGTGTTGATTGCAGCTATATCAATTTATTCAAAGACACAGACAAAAAACTCAAGAGTGCCATAGTCGAAGGAGAGCGAGGAGCAGATACCCTACAATTCAGCCCTTAATGCGTTTTTATATACTTAATATCACGCTTTATTTGAGCTATGCGAATCGTCTAGAGGGGGGTATTTAGTAGAGGAAGAGAGCAATTGAAACGGCGTGATTGAAAGCAAAAGAACGAGAGAGTGTGTGAGAGCTTATCAGAGAGGAAGGTTAGCGAGGGAGTTAAATATTAAATTCACAGAACGCTACAAAAAAACCTAGGAGTAAGTAAGCCTTAATTGGATATATGAGAATTGCAAAGAAAGGCGAGCACAACATGATCTTATATGCGAATAGTTTAAGAAAACTTAAGCTATACAAATGTTAAATAAGAACAACCTGCGGGATCAGTCAACCTTAATTGAATAAATTATAATCGCAAAGCAATGCAAAACAACATGATATTTATATACGATACGTTTAAGATCGCGAAGAATGACCTGAAAGTCAGTCAGCGTTAGTTGGGTGTATGAGAATCGCAAAGAAAAGCGAAAACAACATGAACAACATAAAATGCACAGGAGGGTAAGAACAACCTGAGAGTCGGAGGGCCTTCATTGAGTATATGAGAATCGTAAAGAAAAAAGCAAGCAACATAATCTTTGTATGTCAATTGTTTAAGAAAACATAAGCTTTAACCATATTAAATACACAGAACCCTTAGAAGAATCAGAGAGTCAGTTGGCCCAAATTAAATGTATGAGAATCTCAGAGAAAGGCGAAAACAACGTGATCTTTATATGCGCATAGTTTATGGGAACCTACAAACTACAGTTGATGCCTCTAGCTGCATTGGTCGAAGTGGTCATGCAGACATCAAGAGAAGGTTATCGTCACATTGCTCGATGTTCAGATCAATATATAAATGTATGTTATGTATATCATAGTTGCGCCTTTTGGCCTGCTGGCCATTTTTAATGGGTATACAATTCCGATCATTAATTAAAAACATATTTGTCACTATCTTTAAGAGATGATTTGCCAGAAAGCAAGCTTGAGCTACGTCATAAGAGGATTATTTCTTTACGCTTCAGTGATTGACATATCGTTTAGTTATGCTGCGTATAGGTAATAGTGATACAGTTAGGTAAGATTAGTTTTAATTGAGGGAGTTCCCCTGTAGACCTATGACTTTGCAGGTCTTCACAGAAAGGTTTCCTCACGTTAATGAGCCCCTCTTCAATACATTTATGTATATATTTATATTTATTATTTATTTTGTATAATTTCTATAACCACATCCGGTTGACTGTAACTATATGTGAATAGTTAAAAACAAAATAGATACGTATGACCTTAATTTTTAATTCTCTAGTTTTATCATTTCCAATTATTTAAATTATGGAATTATTAAAAATATGAGGTAAATGTGTTCATCATCAAATATCTGAAAAATTATGATTATAATCTATTTTTATCGACGTATCTAATCTTTAAATTGCATAATGCTTCGATAATTATAACCAATGTAAGAAATATAAAAAAAAAAAAAAAACAACAACTGGCTTTGTGCATTTACTTATGTATATGCGCATATAGATATGTCGATATAAATGTCGGAAACATGCAACATGATGTAAATTAGAAACCTGTTTCTGTTGCTTGGGCACAAAACTTAAGACAAAAGGTCCGAACCAATAAGCCAGACGAACCCTCATCAAAATGTTAGCGGCTAGCAGCCCTGAATTAAAGTTATACTTACTCGTAAACTAAGCAAATGTTCAACAACAAGTTGCATAAACTTTGGAAATGTTCAAAATTCATGGATTTAATTTATTTTTGTTTACAATATGATAGCTCCCCCAGCCACCCAACTCTGCGTGATTGTTAACCTATTATGATAGCCAAAAGCCGTTGCTCTGCAACTAAATAACGAATAAGATGTCGTGACTGCGTGGGATTTGTGGGCTTCCGCGAACTACAAAACGCCGTTGAAGCAATTAACGTAGCGCAACACTGGAAAATTATTTGCCATCTATCAAGTGTCGAACCGAAGGTTCCACTGCGAAGCAGTTAAATTTTGTGGGGGCCAACAATTAATAAGCGTTTCGATTGACCCCATCAACCAGTTTTCGGCGCACTTTTTTTAAATTGAAACAACGAGAACAGCCAGCCCGGCGATATCGAAAATTCTATACGCTTACACATAAAGTGGACATTAATCTGATCAGATTAATCAGAAATATGTTGCATGCATCCAAAACTATATGTCTATGATTATTATAAGAGCAAGATCTGAGTTTTTCGAATTGTTTTCGGGGAAAAAAAATTTAGCAAAATCTACACTAATAAGCGTTTTCTTTGAAGTCATAGTTTTAAATAATACAGGCCTATCGATCCAGATGCTTGCGTCATAAACATGTTCATACCTGTTGTCATACCTGTCATTAGGATGTACGACCTCTAACTATAGAAGATATTGGTGGAGTTCCTGAAACTGATTTGGATTTCATTGAGATTTCGTCGATCAGCTGTTCCCAGCTGCTTCATACAAGACGTATAGTGTGCCCAATAAAAGTGGGGAAATCAAGGTCACACTAAAGAATTTAACGAAAGAAGTTTCGAGGCTGACTAAAATTGGACTTGAAGACTTGATTTGAGTTTGCTTGCACGGTCACACTTTTTGTTTGTTCACCTTCTATTGTGATAATCATTAAGAATTAATAATTAGAATAATAATTATTATTATTTATAGTTTTTTTTTTTAATTATTAGTATTTTTTTACTATTTTTATTATTTTATTCTTCAAATTTATTCTTTTATTTAATTATATTATTCCTTCACGAAGTCTAAATCAAATTTAAATCAGTTTCAGGAATACCATTATTCTATGAACGATTGCCAACTATCGATTGTGCGGAGTTGTGTTCGATTTTTGTATGATAATCAATATTAAATATCAAATTTATCGAAACGGAAAAAATATATATATAAATATATATATATATGTAAGATCAAGATACATATATAATAAATAATGCTATAAAATATAAGAAAAAATAAGAAATGCATGTCTAAAATAATATTATATATTATATTATATTATATATTTAATAAATGTGGATCAAAAACAAAAATAAAAAACAGAAAATAGCCAATATACCCTGTTTGTTAGGGCACATTATGAAGGTGGTGTTTGATTTGATGTTGGATTTGGAGTTGGAGTGTTAAAACGCGCTACTTATTCGCTTTTGTTATGTTTGGCTAATGCTTTTTGTGCAAGTTTTTGATGAATTGCATAACGAGCTAATAAAGAGCGCCAGCAAAAGCCACCCCCCCCCCCCCCCTTGCGCTAGTCCACACCAAACTCCACACTCCACAGTCGACACTCCACAGTCGACACTCCCAGGTGCCGCTGTGAAGGCGTTAGCCGAAGACGGAGATGGCCAAGATGTTGGCAAAGAGACAGCTGTTGGCTATTCGCCGTTTTGGTGTGTCTGCATGATGTCTGCACGGATGATGGCATAATCCGGCCAGAGAGCATCGCGTGGACAAGCAATTAGAGTGTCATACATTAGCATACAGCTGTGGTCAGCTGGCTCCGGGCAGGGTCGAGCTTGTTTTTGTTTTTGTTTTTGTTGTGATTTTGATTTTGATTTTGTGTTTTTGGCTCCTAGCCTCCGCTGACTGCGGCAAATAAAAGCAACGGCCGGTGCACTGCTGCGGCACAGTTGAAGTTCAGCTCTCGTCGTAGTCGCACTTGCAAATCCTAACTCCTAACTCCCAGCTCCACACGTACACAGAGCCAACATGAAGGTGCGTCTTGGCTGACGGTTTAGCTCGAAATCTCGTGGCCGGGATTAGCGAATTTTGAGCATTTTTTTTTCGTTGTTGAAATTTTTTTATTTTGTTTTTTTTTTTTCGTTTGTGCTGTGCTGTGATATTCATGCTGTGCCTGTTTCTCTTCCAAGGTATTCGTTTGTCTGCTCGCTGTGTGCAGCATGGCCCATGCGGGCTTCCTAGGCGGCGGCAGCGCCCTTAGCTCCGGCGGCGGCGGCGGCGGCTATGGAGGCGGCGGCGGCGGCTATGGAGGCGGCCATGGAGGCGGCTATGGTGGCGGCCATGGAGGCGGCGGCGGCGGCGGCGGAGTTAAAATCATCAAGGTGATCTCCGATGGCGGCGGCTACGGAGGCGGCGGCGGTGGCGGTTATGGCGGCGGCGGCTACGGCGGCGGCGGCCACGGCGGCGGTGGCTGGGCAACACAGGGCGGCGGTGGTTACGGCGGCGGCGGCACTATTAAAATCGTCAAGGTCATCTCCGATGCAGGTGCCGGCGGCGGCTATGGCGGCGGTCATGGTGGCGGCTATGGCGGCGGCTATGGCGGCGGCTATGGCGGCGGTCATGGCGGCGGCTATGGCGGCGGCAGCTCCGGCGCTGTACAAATCGTCAAGGTCATCTCTGAGGCAGGCGGCATCGGTGGCGGCGGCGGCGGCTGGGCACAGGGCGGCGGCGGCGGCGGCGGCGGTGGCTGGGCTCCTCAGGGCGGCTGGGCCTCGGGCGGCTGGTAAACAGCAGTCCACACTCGGGCAAGCGCGCGCACCAGATATACCTTGTGGCTGGGTTGTGACACATGTGTGGCCAGGCACAGAGGAGTTTGGGCACGCAACTGGCGCAACCCTTTTCACATATTTGTTTTATTTTTTTTTTTAAATTTGTTGTCACTCGAATTGTAAATACTCATTACATTACACAATAATAAAGCCTAAAACAAATACATTTTGTTGAATTGCGGGCATTAATTATGCGAACCAGTTGCAAAGACTGAAAGTCATTTCCTGTGACGACAATCTCAGCGGGTTCGGCGACCGAATTTGTTTTCACTGTACAACATGACTCGCGTTTGGAGGGAAAACCGAGATACATTGTGGAACAAAACAAAAGCACACGCAACTTCTTCATGTGCCGAAATGTAAATACCCTGGCATATTAATGAATTGAGTTGCATAGACTTATATTCCTATACATAATATATATAAAATAGTAATACAGGTACAAGGCGGAAGAGAGGTACTCTGTGAGAGAGTAAATGATACTACAAATCAGGGCAGAGATTAAGTTAATTAAACTGCCAAGACAACATTTGAACATATAACACTTAAAGTCAAAGCATGACAGCCTTTAAGTCATGGATGAGAATCGCATAGAGGGGTGTAATGGAAAGAAACAAAACTCGTTTGCCTTTGGGAAATATTGCCAACGTTTGTGTATAGCTGGATGAAAGAGAATTTATTCGATTTAACACATGAAATGAAAAACGAACTCAAACTGACCTATCTGGCTAATGAAAATGCAATCTGTGTTAAATTTTTGGGCCCGACTCGGCTCGGCCCGGCCCGGCCTTTCAATATGATGAACAAATATGTGCCTTTGCTATTGGCAGCCACCGGTTGCAGGTGCTGCATTTCAGCATTTCAATTAACGTCTCGTTTCGATTGCCCCCATGTCCACCTGTGCGAACACTGCCCCCCTGCCCCACCGCCCCTTGGTGTTTCAGGCAAAAGCTTTGTGGGGCTCAGTGTCAACGCTGAAGCGCAAAAAGCTTCAACACTCAAAGCTGAAGCATGCCCATGCGTGCCCAGAAAAGTTCAGGCAGGGTATCGAAACGGAAGTTGGGCTCGAGCCAAAGGCTGGCCCCTGGCGTCGATACATAAGATTGTTGGCACATGTCAAAGTCAGAAAGTAAAAGTGCACCTGCAATTCAATTAAACTTGTTAAACGTACCTTAACTTTTACCGTAGGTGTCGCAAAAACTTTGCAGCTTTCATTATACCCTACACCTCGATTGGGAATCGCTTGAAATGTAATCAAATACATATAGAACACAGAGCGAGACTGTTCTTAAGAGTACGTGCGTATATTCTATATTAAATGCAGCCTATTTAAAGCCATGCACGAGCATATGCGTATGCATCAGTTTGGGGTAGTTTATACCAAGCATTACAGGGCATCTGCTAGTCGAACGCTTTCAGCTAGAGCATAGAACATAGAAATTCCTCGATTGAATCTTTGATAAGCTAAGCAAACTCCAAAAAATGTCTGAACTCCTTTCTTTAGTATCTTTAATGTTGCCAGAAATAAGTTGGCCAAATAAATACTATTCCAAAGCCAACTCTGTAAAATAATCTGCCAGCACAACTGAACTTTGTATACGAGCTAAATGTACTCATCCTCGGACCACTATTTATTAAAGCTGCCTTTGGAGCTGTCGGTTGAAGAGCAAATTGGTGTTCACAATCATTCAGTTAGTCAGTAAAACCAAATAAATCTTTAATTTGCAACGCAGCGGGCTTAGCTAAATGAGAAAACAAACCTCTTATGCATACATTAATGCATATACATACATATATGCATACAAACATACATTCATACATACAAAAATACATAAATATATACATACATACATGTATGCATATATTCATGCATGCATACATACATATATACATTCGTATATACACAAACATGCATACATACATACATTCATATATATAAATTAATACATACACGCATGCATACATAGATGCATGCATACATCCTCACATATATACGTACCTGCATACATACATATATACATGCTTGCATACTTACATACATACATGCACGCATGCATGCATATAAACATACATATACATACATTATACATACATGCATACATACTATTAAACATACATATTTACTTTTTGTACATTCATACATAGATGGATGCACGCACACATATAAACATACACATTTATATCAACAGGCAAATATTAGGTAATATAATACTTATGATCAGAACATGAAGAAGTGCAAAGCTTACTCGAAATCATGAGAATCGCAAAGGAGGGTGATATTAAAAATACGTTTTATTTAAATTAGCAGAGCGGCGGAAGTTGGCATTGTCTGCGTTTGCAATAAGAGAACATGCTTTTATATGAACACATATGCATGCATGCATATATACATATATACACAAAAAAAACATATGTATACATTCAATTAAACATATGTATATATACAAGTTTCTTTAAACAAAAGATTGGTTATAATGCATTCTGTTTCTTTACAAGCGTTTCGCTTATTTTTGAGTATTATTTTCAATATTTTGGATCAGGTTGATAATGAAATAGCAACTGGTTCTATCAGGTGCTTATATGGCTTGTGTTTGAGATCCAATTACATAGAATCAATCAGAGCTCACTCTCGATCGATTCCAAAAACGATTTCAAGAAATCGGAATAATGCTGAAAGTCAGTTTGGGGGCGGATTGCGGCTAGAGGGGGAGTGCAACAGGGATTCGTAAGAGTTATATTCAATTTCACGCCCGACACAAAATTATAAGATATATATGTAGCTATGCCAATTAGCCAGACTTGACCTGAAAGCGGCTAACCCAAATGACATTTCCGTAAAACGCCGGATGTTCGCGAGCGCAACGTGTGCGGCAAATGCGAAACTCATTATGACGGACTGCGAGAGAGGGAAGGGGAGGATGAGGGGAGGGGCGCTGGCTGCGGGCAAGGTGTGCACAACAGCTGCGTGCAAATTTATTACGTATACGCCTACAGACACGCACACGCACACACACACGCACAGGCACACGCACACATTCAGAGAGTCGTGCGTGTGGTAAATGGAACAATCAGCGGGTGTTTTGCGCCTGGTTTTAATTTTTTGTCAGTCTTGATTTGTATAGAGGCATAAACAACAGATGTCTCGATGGACCTAGATATGGAATGCATGAATGCCATTGTCATTGTCATTGTCAGCAGGCAGCAGGCAGCAGGCAGCAGGCAGCATGCAGCAGGCAGCAGCATCGGGCACGGGCCTTTGACTATAAATACCGCTCGGCTGGCGGTGCACGCATAGAACGTGCCGCACTTTTAATCAAATCGCCCATGACGCAACACACCCACCCGCCCTACTGTGGGGCACGCCCACTGAGGCTGATTCTGGTGCTCCTGGGCAGCGGCTGCTTTGGCCAATTGGCCGTGGCGCAGAATTACTGTGATCCGGCGCTTTGTCCGGCCGGATTGCGTCATGTTGTGTGCGGCAATAGCGGTGTAAGTAGTGGGCGTGGCCAATATGCGTGTCTATTAACCGTTAACAAGCTCAGCAATTCGCCAGCGGCTGTCGCGGCGAATTCGTACCAATCGATGCGCACATACCGCTCATACTGAAGGAGCACAACGATCGCCGCAATCTGCTGGCCGGCGGCGGGCTAACCGGCTTTCCCAGCGCCCTGCACATGGCCAGTATGTCGTGGGACTCGACGCTCGCACAGGTGGCTGCGTACAATACGCTGCAGTGCCGCATGGCGCACGACGAGTGCCGCAACACGAACACCTATCGCTATGCGGGCCAGAACCTGAGCGTTCTCTATACGCGCAGCATTGATGTGGCCGAGTTTCTGCGCCAGCGGATTGCCGCCTGGGTCGAGGAGTATCGCTCGGCGACCAGCGCCGACACGGAAGTCTATGTGCCGCGTGCCGGACCGTGCGTATGCCCCCTATTGTCAGCTCCTTTCATATTTTCCTCAGCTTGTAATCTTCTGGCATTCGCAGGGCCATCGGCCACTTTACGACCATGGTGAATGAGCGCAACAATCGCATTGGCTGTGCGATTGCTCGGTACACGGACGCCAATGGGTTGGGGTCTACGCTGCTCGCCTGCAACTATGCGGTCACAAATGTGCGCAACAATCCGATCTATAGGGCCGGCTCGCCGGCATCTGAGTGCATCAGGGGTCGCAATCCCAATTACTCGAATCTCTGTGCGGAGAATGAGGAATATAACTATAACACCTGGTCCACTTGATTTCGGTTTATTTTTATATGCATTTTTTTACTTATTTTTATGTTTTTTTTTTTTTAATTCAATATTTATTCTTACTTATTTTAGAATTGTAATTAAACTCCATTTCTCCTGAAATGGATTTCCCAGCAAAAAATGTACCACTATTGATAAGCGTTAGCGCTGTCCCAAAGTAGGGGTAAGCCATAGTGGGATATTCACAAATTCCCAATGCTACTTTTTATATCGTAAGTCTTTTCAGTTTCCCAATCACGTTACCATATTATCCATTTATTTCTCATGGTAACGACTTATCTATTAACACATGCATCAGTCCAAGTGCAAATATTTTACATGCACTGGTTTCTGTCTTGCCTTAAACCAAATTTTTTTAGTAGCAAATTCACACAAAACCAAATGCTATTTTCTTATATCGTAAGTATACACATACCGTATTTTTCTATGTTATTCATTCATTTTTCCCATTCGTGCTCCCGAAGTATCAATTTTGTATCTATTACTTCGGGCTTCGGTCCAAATAGAATTATTTTATATTTGCTTGTTTTTGTCTAAGCTTAAAGTACTCAACATTTTTTCAGTAGCAAATTCATAAATACCCAATGGTACTTTGTATATCGTTATTCATATTATCCGTGAATTTTCCCATTCATGGTCCCTTTTTATCCGTCCATTTTCCCATTCAAATGCTTTAACTATAAACTCAGGCTTCAGCCAAAAAATATTTTTTATTCGCCGGTTTTTGTCTTGGCTTAAGGTACTCAGCATTTTTCCAGTAGCAAGTTCACAAATACCCAAAGGTACTTTTTATATCGTAAGTGTGCGCTGATTAGATACTATAACATCCGTTTATCCGCTCAAAGCTTCAACTATAAAAATAAGCTTATGATGGGGGATTTTAAAAATGTCCAATGGTACTATTTATATCGTAAGGGCGAATTGCCTAAAGGTACATTTATGTTCATTTTCCCATTTAAATACTCAAACCTTACACATAAACCTTTATTTAGGGGGGAATACCGACTGGCTTTTGTCTTGGCTTAAAGTGCACAAAACTTTTTTAGGGGAGTAATGTACCCAATAGTAATTTTTATACTGTAAGTGTGCACTATTTCCGCGTATCAATTTTATCCGTTTATTTTCCCATTAAAATACTTAAAGCATAAAAACAAGCTTCAAATTATAGAGAATGTACTTGTCATTTACGTGTAATTATCTTAGATTCAAAATATGAGAAACTTCCTCAGTAGGAAATTTCTAGTACCCAATAATATTTCTTCTATCGTAAGCATGGGTTGCCGACATGAATTTTTACTATCCGTTAATTTTCCCAATCAATAATCTACATAAGCTTTGGCTCAAGGGGAGCAATACTTAGCTGGTTTATGTCTTGGCCTGAAGTACACAAAACTTATTCAGTGGGAAATTCACAAATACTTAATGGTACTTTCTTATCGTAATATGCATTTTCAACCTGCCCGTTAAATTTTGTATATGCATAATCAAACTAATAACTAACTAAAATAGTTAAGCTTTGAAAATATAAAAACAGCAAGCAGCAAAAAAACAACCAGTAATAGAGATCTGCTTCAGCTTAAATGAAGAAATTATTTGGTATTTGCCTGGTGTTGGGCTTGGCTACAAAATGGGTTTGTGTCCACACTTATCGTGGGCAATGAGCTCAAATTATGTTTTATGAGCTTGAACCAGTTCATAATTGGCTTGAAAACTGTGAAGTTCAATTTCATTTTGCATTTCAATACAAATGCGAATATGTAGAAGGATATTTGAACATTATTCATTTGACCCCCGCGACACCGGGTAATATCTTTCAATTTCTTATAATTAATAAGTAAATGTTTCGTAGAATTTAATTCCATCTAAATAAAAATAGAATTTAAGCAACGAGGGACAGCTTATGGAGCCACAGAATGAAAAAAAAACCTTGCCAGGGCATAAATAAATATATAAATAAAAATATATGTACATAAATACATAAATAAGAGTATGAAAGCAAAAGCACGCTTACCTATCCTCCATAGTTCACTTTTATGCTCTCCCACTCTCTCTCTCTTTCTCACGATGTGCACTCGGTTTGCGCGCCAATTTGTTGCGGGCAAAAGAAAAAAAACGCGGCAGCACAAAAATGCGATGCGTAACGATTATTAAATATGCATTGAAGATCGCTTTTTAAGGAGCTGACAACTAACAAACACAACACAAAACAAACTAATCGCAATAAACACCATTTATTTAACAGAAAAAAATATATAAAAAAAAAGAATTTCACACGCGGCGAACACAAGCGATCGACAGGGAAAACGCGCACAGACTAAATTCGCTCAGCCGGCTCTAGCACTAATGCAATAACAACTGAGAGCACACAACTGTCAAAGCATCTGCACTGCACATCAGCCGCAAGTGCGCGCTCCAAAGATAACGGGATCGCAAGCATTTCGACCAATGGCGTGAGCTCAGTGGACACATTGAATTCGAACTCTCTCGCTCATTGCATTCATGGCATTGAGAGAGCCAAAGGCAATGCTTAGAATTTCGTCTTCTTTGCACTGTGACGTCATCAATGCGTATTTTTGAGTGCGCTTTAAATAAAAATTAATTAATTAATCGATATTTCACTTTGAAATTAATGAAAAATTCAAATAGTTAATAATTGTTAAATTTTTTAGACCATTAAAGTGTTATGGGAAAAAATGAAAATTATAAAAATAAAAGAATTTCAAAGCAGATCTGATAAAAGTAAAGAAATTTAATATGAAAATTTGGAATTGCAATTGGGAGCCCAATGAGCTAAGCATCGCGAGGATCGGGATTCGTCTCTTTCGATTCAACGATACGTATTATGACGGGTATATCCTCGATTTTGGTCGGATTTGTGACCGAGTGCGTAAACGGCTCCACACATTCCTCCTTGAACTGTGCCCACTTACGTGTCTTGATGAAGTCCTTGAAGAGCGTCTCGCGCGACGGTATACAGCGATCCAAGTAGAAGCGCATACGCTGCCAGATGTGGCCCGGATTTTGGTCCTCCTCCATGAGCCAGTAGCGCGGTATCAGCAGGCACTGTACTGTCGTACGGGCCATGACAACGCGATGATCCCCCTTCTCGCCCACGCCGAACAGGCCGCCAAAAGTCATCGAACCGATGTCAACAAAGTGGGTCGCATAATTGCCGTCACGCTGTGCCAGGAAGGTGTATGGAAAAATGCATCGAACGTGTGTGTATTAAGTAATATATGTTTATATTTAGATATTTACGTAAGGCTTCAGGGATTTGATCGATACGGGCACACTGGACGAGCTCGTCGAGGAGGCGGTATATACCTCCGACTCCTCGGACTCCGCCTCCGTGCTGATCAGCTCCCGCTGTCTGCTCTGTCTGCTCTGTTTGCTCTGTCGACTGGATCGCCTGTCCCGGTTCAGGGATTGACGGATAGAATTGAGGTCGTCGTCATCCGTGGAATAATGCTCTTCGTCGTAATCCTCAAACTGAATGTCATGGCCAAGCGTTCGCTCCTCCACAATCGATTTGAAATAATGCGAGTGACGCGTCAGACGCGGCTTTGGCGTCTCATCCACGGGCAGCAGTCTTTTGTTCAGGAGCTTGCAGTGCGCCTCGATTTTGGCGAACTCCGCCTTGCGTTTCTGCATTCGAAAAGGGCCCCGAATAGTTGGTGGAATCAAAAAGTGGAATTCATATTTCATACCGCCTTCTTTTTATTGTATCCAGCTTCGTCCAGCGACGAGCTCGAGCGCAACAGTTCCCTAACATCGAACGGCTCCGGCTTTTCGTCCTCTGCCTCATTGTCCGAGTCCTCCTCGATCACCTTGGATAGCTCATACTGGACCTCGCCCCTCACATAGGACACCTACATAAGTGGCGGGTGGTGGTGGTGGTGGACTTTACAGACTCGAATCGGGACAAAATATGCCATTAATTACCTTCATGTGGAGGCACTGTAAAAGAACGCATTCGCCGCTTAGAACGAAGTGCACATATTGTATGCTGTCCTTCTCCTCGGGATATATTGTGCCCAAGGGTTCGTATTGCCTTAAGATGCCAAATTTGCAGGCGCTCACAATCTGTAGACGAATGGATTAAGTGTCAAGTGGGGTATGCCCCGCCTAGCTAATCGATTTCTCGAACTAAATCTGGTCACACTTCATTTTGTTCGTATTCCTAAATACAGCCACACTCAAGACTTACTTGCGAATCGCTCATAAATTTCAGATAGCTCAGCGAGGCAATCGCCTTCTTCTTTTCGATCCAAACCTTTTTCACATACGGCCTGAGCAACGCCTTGAAGTCAAAGTCATCTAGTACCAGAATTTCGCAATTAGCTGAAAGTGAGTGCATGATGATGACGATTAGCATTTGAATAAGGATTCGCTTTTAGTTCGGATACTTGTGGCCTTATAGGTATTCATTCTCAGGTCTTCCTCTAACAGCTCAATCTCACCGATCCAGTCGCCCGGTCCAAAGAATGCCTCAGGCTTCGATACGAACTTGCGGGTGATCTGCCAGATGCCAAATGAATTGGGAGCTTCCGGTTAAATGCACATTTCCGTTACCTTATTCCATATCTTTCTGGACATCTCGACCTCACCGCTGACCACAAAGTAGACACAAGTCGGCTCATCGGCCTCCTTCATCAAGGTGCGACCCGTAGTGACGACCATGAAGTGTAGGTAGGGCACCAGACGAGCTCGAATCTTCTGTAAAGAAGTTGATCAAGTCCACAATATACATATATATATATATATTAATTGATCGTACCGGCGGCACTTGGGTAAAGCAACCGAGTCCAGCGACGATTGTGCACAGGCTCTTTCGCTCGGGAATGGTCCGGGTGTGATGCGGGGTGGCTAGCAAGCCTTTTTGCTGGGATCAGATCGGTTAGGAATCCAACTGTGGTATATCCGCTCCAACCGCTTACCGCCATTGTCAATATGCCAGTCTTGTGCTTCTTGCGCACCAGCATCGCCACATTCTTCTTCACATTCAAGGTAAGGCCCTGTTCGTCCACCTCGCTGATCCATTTTTGGTTCGCAAAGGCGACTCGGACCAATCTCTTGAAACGCAATTTGGCGAGCCTCTTCCGTAGCGCCTCGTCCCCCTCCTTGTTGCGCTTGGACATGCTGGCCAATCAGGTAATTGATTAATTGCAAATTGCCTGTTTTCAATTCAAATATTTTCTCTCGTTTGTTATGTTGTGTTTTTGTATTTGTTTTGGCTGTGACTGACTTCCATATGGTAGCATATAGGTGTCTACATGTGCGAATTGAAAACTTTATAAACGTCTACTTAGTTTCAAAATTGTTGGAGGTCGTGATCCGAACCGGAACTGGGTAAGGTAGGACAGCGACCGTGCTTCTTCTCACACACAATGGAAGATTTATTCCATAGGAAGTCGGAATATTCCGTAGGAAGTCGCAATATTCCGTAGGAAGTCGGAATAGCATTCGTTTGGGTGGAGGGTTTTCATGTTTCTAACTCCTGAAATCTACGAGACATGCTTGATAATCGATAGTTATCGATATTGAAGAAACAGCGCGAGTTATCGATAGCTTAAAATAAGCCTGACCTGTGTGTATAATATTCGCTAAATAATATTCCAAATTTAATAGACAAACAAACATTTCCGGATATAGCTAGCCCGATCTATGGGATCGGGCACTATGTTGCGATTTTGAACCTACATTTTTAAGGTAAACGATTTTATGTCGCTTTGATTACCTCGAAAGCGAATCGCTTTGTCTGCTGGCAGAGAATTCACGGAGAATTTCCTTTGCCTAAAAAGTCCCAATACGAAAATACTCTGATTGGAGTGAAACGCAAATGGACTCAGAGAAGTGCAAAGCATTTTAATGTAATTGAGCGCAAATGAGCATCCCTTGAGCAGATGCTCAAAGCACCCCTTCGCTCTGCACAAAGCTTTGGGACACATTTGGCACACTCCCCACACGGTAGACGCCAACACGGCCGTGGTGAGTAGAGAGCATCGTTGAGTGAACTGTGAGCTGGGGAATTTGAGTGTGCAGCGAACAGAGAGCTTACACTCAATGGCAGACGAGCTGTTCATTTGGATGCTTCGCAATGTGTCTGTAATTTTGCGAACGACAGTTCATTACTGTTTTCAAGGATAAGCGATGCCCACGTGCTGGCCCCGCACTGGCGAAAACATCGAAATTCAATTGTCGTCTTTGTCGCCTCTTGTGGTCGTCTCGCTGTCAACTACTCAGTAAGAACACAAACAAACTGTAAATAGGCAAGAAAAAGAAAAAAAAAACAAAAAAAGAGCAAAAAAAAAAGTTAAAAAAAAAATGATGCTGAAGAGAAACTATTTGAAATATTCGACAAAAACCGAAAGAGTTAATGAGCAAATACCGTTACGCGCGTTAAAAATACAAGCTCTGTTTATTTTTTGTTAATGTTTTTGATGTTGTTGTTGTTTTCTTTTTTTTTTTTTTGCCAAATGCAAACAAGTGCCAGTGATGTGATGTGTCGCAAATGCCGAAAAGGATAACAAGTATTTAAAATAAAAACTTGCATCTAATCGCATTAGCCGATTTTGGGAATACAAATCGTAAAAACATTTTAAACCGGGTTAGTGAAAGTTGTAACAATTAAATTAAACACACACGCACACACACACATACACAAATCGACAGGAGATTAATCCACTTGCTGCTGCATCCGTCGCATCCGTCGGCGTCCTTTTATTGCTGCATCCCATTTTCTGCTCGACAAACATTTACAGTTTTTCTACTTGTTCTTCTTCTTCGTCTTCATTTTTGTGTTTACCGGATATTTAACCTGGCGCCGGCATCTTGTAGCCCAAGGCGCCTTTTGTGTCGTTATTTGTTTAATTTTATGAAAACTAACAATAAAATAACTCTCGATCTAGGAACGTATGGAACTGTGTGTCGATGTGTGAGCTAACTTAATCAAGCTATAAATCTTAAAGTATTTTCTGGTATATACTAGAAAATACTTTAAGATTTGTAACTTGTTCTCAAAAATATTTATTATTCCTGTTTCTTTGTTACAAGTTTTTTCGCGTTCGTAAAATTGTTTAAGTGAAACCCGATAAAATAATACAAAATCTATATGAATTTCTGGAATAATAGAACAATTGATAAAAAAGCGACGACTTTCTCTCGCGCTATTTTTTTTTAATTTTTCTTTAGTGTTTGGTTCTGGATACTCTTTTTGTGCTTTGTGAACCTCAAAATGAGTAAAAGTTTTGTGAGCTTAAATTGATTGGGTCTCTCACATTCAAGATTTTTGGATTATATTTTACTGCTTCCTTTCCATATCTCTCTTTCTCGCTCTCTCCCTCTCTCTCTCTCTCTTTCCTGATTAATGTTAAGTTTTTGATTTGAGGTCCCCACAAAATTGGTTTCTTTCTCCCAACTCTCTTGCTCTATCTCGCTAATTTGCCCTCTCTCTCTCTCGATTTATCTCTCTTTTTCTGATTCCCTCTCTTTTTCTCTCATTAATGCAAAGTTTTTGACATTTTCGTTAATTTTTGATCCCCAACAAATTAGTTTCTCGAAAAACATCGCTTCTTTCCAACTCTTTCGCTCTATCCCTCTGTTTTCTCTCTTCCTCTCACTCTCTCTCTCTCTCTTTCTCCATTTCACTCTCTTTTTCCCTCATTAATGCAAAGTCTTGACATTTTAATTGGTTTTAGGTCCCCAACCAATTGGTTTCTTTCTCTCAACTCTCTCGCGACATCTCTCTTTTTTTCCGCTCTCTCTCTCTCTCTCTCTCTCTCTCTCTCTTTCTTTCTCTTTCCATCATAAATGTAAAGTTTTGTCACCTTTCGGTTGGTTTTTCTCTCAATCTCCCTCTCTCTCTCTATCTCTACTTCTCCCTCCCTCTCTCTCTCTCTCTGTCTCTGTCTCTGTCTCTGTCTCTTTCTCTTTCACTCTCAATCTCCCTCTCTCTCCCTCCCCGCTTTTTGACCTTTAGCTCTATAATAATATGAAGAAATACCTTTTAAATTATTTTTAAGAATCGCAGCTCGTTAATGCCTCCATTTCCGCTGCTCTCTCTCTCCCCCCCCCCCCCGCCCCCTTCCCTCCTCACAAAAAACTACGTGCTTTAATTAACTCATTTTAAATGTAATTCGGTTGAGGTAGCCCATCAAACTCAGGCAAATATAAATTTTTGATTAATGTGGTGTGAATAATGTATTCACATTAAAACAATTAGTTTGGTTAAACCAACATTGTGGTAAAGTGCAAATACATACATTGAGGCAGGTATGCGTATGTATGTGTGCACACATAATATTCAAGTGTTGTTGCATGCCCCACAGAAATTTTCCTGTCATTTACATAGCTTACGGTAGTTCGTTGTCTCTCCAAAGATTCAAAGCTTAATAAATGCAGATAAGTTAAACAATATCATATTTTATTTAAAACATTTAAGTGGCCTTCCAAGCAATAATATTTGCACGACAGGATGTGCCTGATGATAATATGATTTTAAACTTCTCAAATAGCTATTTAATTTGGCTAAGAAATTGAACAAACTCTTGGCATTAAAAGCCATATAATATATTCAGTAGCTTATTTGCTTAAACGCAGATCAAATTGAACAATTGACTGGAGAATTTAATATTTTAGCCCTTTGACGCGCTACTCAAAGGGAATAACAATAATATAATATATACTTTTTCATTAAAAATGTTTTATTTTATGGCTCAATTCAAATGCTTAATTCTGCTAAATTGGTCACAGTTCAACACATGAGGGCTTTAAAGCTTAAAGCTAACTGGGCGAGGACAAAAATATAGCTTAAATATATTTAAATGTGAATATTATGGAGGTTTATTGACAAAAAATGTCTAGTATTTAGTGCTAGAAGCCGTTTTTTGAATCAAATTTAACTTAAATGCTGAAAATATTTTTGAAAAAAATCGAGAGGAAAACAGCAAAGATTTCTTTTTAAAATAATTAATGTATATATATATATATATTTCCAATTTAGATATTGCATTACCAAATAAAAAAAAATTAAGCTTTTTATTCATACCTATTATTGCTTTTATACCCAATTCAATATTTCGAGCTATATACAGAAAATATTTAAGATTGACTCAAAATATCTGATATTTCTAAAATATAAAATATATTCCTACAATATCATATTTCTATAAAATGACAATAAAGTAATATATCCGATTTCTATGGATACAAGCCCCACATGAATTATAGCTTTAATTGGTCAAAGCAAATCTTACACACATATGCACACACCCATTCGTATTACGTATACGCTCCAAATTAGTGTTGGAAAGCAACATAATATAATAATATAGTAGTATATATCCGATTTCTATGGAAACATGCTTTAACCTCGATGTATGAATTATAGCTTTAATTGGTCAAAGCAAATCTTACACACACATGCACACACCCATTCGTATTACGTATACGCTCCAAATTAGTGTTGAAAAGCAACATTAGGCAAACCGCTGTATAACACTCCTCAAGGCCTTCGGCTTTGATAAGCAGACATCTATACCACATGCCGAAACCGAAAACCGAAAACTGAAAACCGCAACCTTGTTAAATCCCGTTAACCGTACAAACACACCGCAACAGCACACAGACAAACATATACGTATATGTGTGTGGGTGTGTGTGTGTATGTGTGTGTGTGTGTGCCGAAGTGAAGTCAACAAAGTTAGCGCGTCGGCTGAGAACAGTCGTAATCCCAAGATGTCAACCGGCCGTAGGCGCCTGAAGAAGTTTCTAATCTGAATATATGCGCGTAAAACAAGAAGAATTTGGTGTAATAAACACAACGGGTGTTGGCTACGGCGTGCTGGCAGGGGGATGGCGGGTATACATAGCTAAAATGCGTACAAGACTTACGCGTAATGCGTATGAAACAAAACAAAGCACGTTTTGCACTCAATGAGGCACAGCAGGTGCTCTGCGACACACACACACATACACAAACGTGCATACATACATACGTATACATGTGCATATGTATGTGGCTACGCATGCAGATTCGAGGGTAGCTTGGACGCATATGCTAAGCGTTAAGAGCTAGTTAGTCAAAGTCAGGTAAGGAAAAGGAATTGCTGACGCTGGGCCTGCGTCTGCGTCTGGGTCTGGGTCTGGGCAAATAAAAGAGAGAGCGAAAGAAAACAGGAACGTGACAGTCTGCAGCTAGAACTCAGTTGTACAGATTACAGTTCTTTTACTCGAGTCAATGATGATGTTTCGCCTGATGATGATGATGATTATGATGACGAGGCTGAGAGCTGAGAGCAGCACGAGAATTTCATAAAATGAAATTTTGCTGTACAAGCGTCGCCATAGAGCTCATTTAAGATTTTATTGCTGCTATGTTATGAGAAAATCCTGTCCGCTTCGTGTCCGCCCCCTCCACCCTCCCCTCCCCGCCCATCTGTGGGCTCCTGGGTCCGCCCTTCAAGTGCAATTAGAATACGCAAAAGGCTTTAAGCCTTCCGTTTGTTATCGCTGTGCATAGTTTCGGGACGGTTCGCCCTTTAAAACAAAATATCGCAGCAAATGGCAAAATCAGATGTCAACAGAGGAAGAAACAAAAAAAAAAAAAATGAAAAAAAACAAAACAAAACAACAGCTAACTACAGCAACAACAAAAAAAAAAAACAAAAGCCAACGGAGAGCAGAGAGCGGAGGCGAATGTCAGCAAGAACAAGAGCAACAACAACTTCACTAATATAATATTTATTACGGTGATTATGTCTTGAGCCAAGGGCAAGCGCCGGCAACGCCTCGCACCCGCCCCCACCCCTGCCGCCTGCCGCCTGCCACGCCTCGAGCTCGTTCACACAGCCGATACAAAAGTGGAAATGAAAGTTGAGAGAGAGAAATGTAATAAGCAAGCACATTGCGGGCAGCGGGGGGGGGGGGGGGGGACAACGGGACATAAACTATGATGGACGCCAGCGATGACGACGTCGCCGTCGACGTCGCAGTCAGCGTCGACAATGAGGAGACAAAAACTTGCCGTAGGAAAACAACTTTAATTCGTTTTATTCATCTGTATTACGGCAATAAAAACTCGCTTTGAAATCAGTTTCTTGATACAAATCAAACAAAAAACAAAAAAAAAGAGAAAAAAAAGGAAATAGAAAATAGAAAATGGAAAATAAAACAACAAAAAAATAACAAGCTTTTTGTTTTCGCAACCGCGGCAGCAGCGGGATGCTGAATCAATAAGTGACGCAACGCAGTTTACACCTTTGCGCGTTAACTGTGCGATTCTCTCCGGGGACGCGTTGCCCGGACAAAGTATATTTGATTACATTTTTAATTCGATTTTTGTCTATTTTCCGGACTTTTCAATATTTAACAATTTTGTATGCAACGCTTTCGAAATAAGTTTGCAGCCGAACGTACAAACAATTTTTCACCCGAGGGAACGACTTTTCCGATTAGTGTAAAACTTGGTCTCTAATTGATTTTTAGATTTGAAAGATTTTCAAATGAATGAAAATCAATCAAATTTCTATGGGAAATAATTCAGCTTTCTAGCTGAGCTTGTAATATGCGTGGAACTTGATCAAGTTGTGACAAAAACCTAACCTAACCAAAAAAAAAAGAAGTTCTATCCTAAAAAATATACAATAATAAATATAAAATATATCAATATATACATATACATATATATATATACTTGCTGATATATATATGGCATAATATCATCTATCGGGCAATCAACACAAACTGTTTTACAGATGGGGTTTTATAGACGATTTTTGCTTCTCTCCCACTCGCATTTTCTTTTAATACAATAGTTGATGGGGTTTTAAAGAGACTGTTTTAGACTAGCCCCATGTCTCTTCTCTCTGCCTCTTTCTCTCTTTCTCTCTGTCTATCTGTCTCTTTCTCTCTCTCTCTCTCTCTCTCTCTATCCCTCTCTTTATAATCGTGTTGATGAGGTTTTATAGACGGTATTGAAGTCAAGCTCCAGATCTCTCTATTTATCTCTCGCTCTCTCGCTCCTTATAGACTTGCTTATGGGGTTCTATAGACAGTGTTTTACCCCGGCCCCATTTCTTCCTGTCTCTCTCTCTTTCTTTCTCCCTTTATAGATTAGTTGAAGGGGTTGTAATGAGACTGACTTATAACTTTCCATTTTGTTTTTATCTCTCTCTCTCTCTTTTTCTGTCTCTCTATTTATAGACTTGTTGGTGGAATTTAATTCTAGCCCCAGATTCCTCTGTCTCTTTCAACCTTCCTCTTTATAGACTGGCGAATGTTTAAGCTTACTCGCATGTCTCTCTGTCTCTCTCTCTCTCTCTCTTCCTCTCGCCCTCTCTCTCTGTCTCTCAATCGGTCTCACTCTTTATATACTTGCTGATGAGGTTTTATAGGCAGTGTTTATAGCTATCCACAGATCTCTTAGTTTCTGTTTCTCTCCGCCGTTCTCTCTCTCTGTCTCTCTCTCTTTTAGTAGACTGGTTGATGGGGTGTTTTATCCTTGTTTCAGCACAGCCCCATATCCAGTTGTCTCTCTCTCATTATACACTAAATGATAGCATCTTATAACATAGCTACATGTCTCTCCCTCTCTGTCTCTCTCTCGCTCTCTCCGTTTATTGATATGTTGATGGAGTTTTATGTGCAGTGTATCAGCCCAGCCTCATATTTCTTTGTCACTCACTTTTTCTACCTGTCTCTATCTCTCTCCGTCTCTCCCTCTTTATAGACTTGTTGATGGGGTATTTGTCTGTCTCTTCCTCCCCCTCCCACTTCCTCTACCCCTTTTCCTCTCCTCTCTCTCTCTCTCTCTCTTTAAAGTCAACCTGTTCAACCTAGACTAGACCCGCTCCAAGTTAACGCAAACCATTTTTTTTTTGTATGATTCCAGTTAATCAAAGGGAAATCTTGAAAAGAACTTTCTATGTAGACGGACAATCTCGCGATGCACGGCTTATGCTGTCTATAGCGCCTGGATGCGTCGAGGACAGCAACGTTTTGGGAATAAAATGAAGGTTTCTGATATCAAGAGGCCCGTTTATCAAAGTCACGTCATCCCGTGCAAAGGATGAGGCGTTTAAAAGTTAATAACACATCATTAGCATCAGCATCAGTCGCGGCCCAACAGCTCCCACGGACAACCCAGTTACGGAATAGCCCGGGCATAAACCTGAGCCTGAGCCCGAGCCCGAGCCCGTGCCCGTGCCTGAGACTCGTTCGGCTGCTCGCCGTTGTCACAGTGATTGGATTTCAGTTTCGTTCTGTCCTCTGTAAGTATGGGCCAGGCGGGGCCATTTCGGTTCCAATATCAGAGGGACAAAGTAAATATGTGTATGTAATGCGAGTGCCCTTTGCTTATTCCACATTGCCCGAGGAAGCGTAATGATAGAGCAATGGAATCCGGCATATGCACATAAATTACACTCTCTCGCATATGTATCAATAATCTGGGTGGGGGACGACTCTCTCTTTCTTCCGGCCAGGCACAGCAGCCACCAGTGCATCGACATCAACGACCCTCAGCACACAGAATACAAGCGCAGAAAACAATTTCTATTTTGATGAGCATAATACCACTACCAAATCGCTATCATTTCTTGCTGCGGACTCGGCAGCCGCAATTCCCGACCTCTCACCGATGCCAGCCGAGGCGATACCGACCTTACCCACAGCCCGAGCACAGGTTGGACTAACTACGCTCACAAGCGAGACCTCGATGAGAACTGCGCTTGACAGCGATGCGATCGGGAATGGCACCACGGTTAAGAATTATAATGCCGTTGAGCTCGGCTCCATGGGTTTGGCGACGGCCGCAGCGGCCACGACCAAGAGCATCAGAAGCACCATTAAACAACCCATCGATGCCACACGCTCCAGGAACCACTGGACTGTTGGCGGCTCCGCCGATGCGGAACGATCGCGCACATTTCGCAGCAAGTATCATCATGAGAACCACTATGGCCCGTTCTTCGAGGAGCCATCGAACCTAGTCGATCCGGGCAAGACTCTCGTCTCTGCAGTGCATCTATTTACCGAAGCTGTGCTCAACTGTCGCGTCGGCATGCTCAAGGATAAGACGGTAAGCGGGCTTCTTAACTAATTGATATACAAACTAATTGGCTTAGACCACAATCAGCTGTTGGTCTTAGTTAATAGTTTCCTGATTTGTCCGTGCTGGAGGACTAACAGGGATTTCCTGTTGATTCAATTGTGATATTGACTAAAGCATCAGAAACTATCGAAATGTCGAAATCTGTTTCGAGTTTACTTGGGAATTGCTTCATTTTGAGCAGTACTCAGAATATTATAGTAGAAAAGGAGAAAGTGAGAAAATCTTTGACACGCCGAAGATTTAAAACCCTTGTAGACATTTCCTATTTGAAAATATGTGATAGAAGTGAAGCTCGTTCGATACAAATATCTTGGAATACAGAATAAGAACCTTCATACTTTTTGACCGATCTACTTGATAAGTGTTCCGATATTGATAGGATTTTGCATAAAGTATATGAAAGTAGTAAATGCCGAGTTTAGTCAAGAAATATCTTGAATAACCATAAAAGTTGTCCATGCTAGAACCTTCTTTTCGACTGGTTATCCCTATGACAGCTTTCGGATAGGTGTTCCGATGTCATAAGTCGTGAGACTTATAAATTGCCGAATTTGGTCAAAATATCTTTGGCAACAGAAAAGTTTCTCATACAAGAAAACCTTTTCGAATGATCGTTTCGACATGATCCCATCCGCCTGGTTCCGACATATGTATGAACTAACTCCATAGAAATGTAAAATTTCAAGACGATAGCCTTAGAACTGAGAGAGACTAGTTCAACAGACCAACGGAGAGACGGAGAGACAGACATGGCTTTATCAACTCGGCTCTTGTCGGGCTTAGAGATGTCTCCTTCCATTTCATCACAAAATTTAGAAAAAAAATAAAATCACAATTTATTTCGCAGAATAAATAATCGAATTTCTATGCCAGATGCCAAAACTCTCTAGACTATTTACTGTAATTGTAACATCCTCTGCAAGGGTATTGAAAAAATAAGAACACGCAGTCTTAAGCCAATCCCTGGAATCCCCATTACAATTGGTATTTGCATTTGGTATTTGCGCCAAATTCAATTTCGAAATCCGGCAAATTTCAAATTAGCTGGCAAAAAAAACCGTTTCAAATTCAATTTTGAATTTTTGCAAACCGCTGGCAACGTTTGAAAAGCATCGCGATGGCAACGCTGTTCAATCACAATAACAAAAAAAAAACCGTTTCTAATTAAATTTCGAATTTTTGCAAACAGCTGGCAACGTATGCGTGACATTTTTGAACCCGATGGCAACTCTGCCAAAACAATCAAATTAACAAAAAAAAAAAAAAAATAATTATCAAAAGTCAGACTAAGTGCATTTTATGCTAATCCCGCCCAGTTATTTCATGTTTTCACTACAAACACAGCTCTTTGCGCTGTCGAAATGGACTTAAAATATCGAAATTGCAGGTGATGTGGGTGAGGCGTACAACTGAGAAGGTGTCACTGCTTACCGTTGGAAATGTCACATATAGCGGCGATCCGCGCATACGAGTCAAATTTCAGTATCCGAACAACTGGCGTCTGATGATTAACCCAACGCAAAGGGAAGATGCCGGCATCTATATGTGCCAGGTTTCAACGCATCCGCCGCGTGTCTTCACCACCAACCTGACCGTATTGGGTAAGTCCATATATGCCCCAAAATCAACTAATGGGCACAATGTGTGCAATGCTTTCCGTGCAGAGCCGCCGTTGAGGATAATCGATGAGCATGAACGCGATGTGGGCGACAGATATTACAAGTCCGGCAGCACTGTGGATCTGCAGTGTCAGATATCGCGGAATTTCTATCAAAAGGAGCGCCACAACATACTCAAGTCCACGGATTCCAACAAACTGAATGAGACGGGCAGCGAACTAAATCTGATCGGCGATGCGAACCAAACATATAGCACATACTCGAGCCAGGAGCTGGAGAAATACTTTACCAACTTCATTGCATGGGCCAAGGACGAGGAGCCGCTGCCAGCACTGACCAATCGACGTTCTAGGTATGTTTCCCATCAAAATCAATGTGCGATTATTCAATGGGTTGCATTTCATTTTATTCGCAGCGTATCCGATAAATGGCTCAATAGTCGAATTTCCATACCAGATGCCAAACTCTCAGACAGCGGCAACTATTCCTGTTCACTTGGCAGACTATTTACTGTAATTGTACAGGTTCAAGTACTTACGGGTAATATCTATCACTTAAATCACAAACGAAACTTAACTTAATCATGGTAAAAAATGTTGTACATTTTAGGAGAATTACCCGCCGCAGTCCAACACAATTTAGCCCACAGATTCGACAGCTGCTTCTCGCTCTCGTGGAGTCTCTTCATCATTGTTATTTGTTTTCAAAATATCAGATCGTCGAATGCCTGATGGGAAGGAATTGGTACTCAGCATCGGATCATTAACTATATATAGTAATATAACATACAGATACGACTAAAACGAAATACTTAAATAGAGCATTTCCAATAATTTCCATATGTGTATGTGTATGCATCACGCTGTGTAACTGCTAAACTGACCGATTTGTCCAACAAATATTCGTATACATACAAATTAACATTCATAACATACATAAATATATATATATATATATATAGAGAGAGAGAGAGAGAGAGAGAGAGAGAGAGAGAATTTTCTATATCAATTTACACGACTTTCATTGATATTCTTCTTAATAAAATAAAGTCGACAACTTGTTTAATAAAATTCGGAATATCAGTTTAAGTACTCCCCCAAGAACTAGCCCAACATTTATATATACATATATTAATGTATACATATGTTTTATGTAAACAACAAAAAATCAAATAAAATTTGTTAATCTGTTTCGTTTTGAGTGTAAGTACAAGTTCAACTTTCACTTACATAAGTTATTGACATTTAATTGTGTATTTTGGCAATTAGTATGTTTGTAAATATTGTAAAATGGCAGACGTTAGAATTTCTACCTTATCTGAAATGTAAACCTCCTAAACATATAATCATTTTTTTTGTATCCCCCCCCCCTCCGCCCCATCATTTTGCTAGCCCAATTGTATAGTTAAAGTATTGTATTCAAATTGATTTGTATACATCAAGATCTTAGTTAACTTAGGTAAACTATTTGGGTGAATTATTGAAACCCGAGCATCCCCCCCCCCCCCCACAATATTGTTAAATTGCGATAATTATGTATTATCACGATTATCATGCTATATATTACAAGTAAATCAAAATACATACTTTCAAATATAAAATCTATCAAAAATTGTTTTCTTTCATCAAATTTAAGGAACTTCCTCTAATAATCCCAAATCTTTGGTATTTGTGCTTACAAAGTCTATCGATTGTGCCTGATTACTAAAAGTCCACACTAAATGCATTCACATTTCAATAATTGTTTCCACAAATTTATTGGAATTTATTTATTATTGAATTTTTTAAAGTTAGTTTAATTTCTTTTTATATCTTTTCCGTTTCGTAGCAATTAGGTTTTCAGTGACTGCCATTGCAGTCTGCTTTTGTCCGGCACATTTACAAGGCTATAGGAAATCAAACAGTTAGAATTCCAACTGAGAACTTTGCCGAAATCCTATTGGAAATTTTGCGCAAGTCGCAATTTAATTGGCATCTAAATAGTATTCTGATGCTTACCAGACATTATTACTTATTGGCCCTTTACATGCAGATTTATGACTGTATTTCACAAATTTGATATAAACTCTCTAAACTCGATATATTGTCAACAATATATAGAAGCAACAAGCTGTTTATCAAACATAACTTATTTTTATTGCCTGCCAATTGGCCAACTATCGATAACATTTGCAAAACTATCGCTTGCAATCAACATGCCGATCGATATTTTGAAAGGCAATCGCAAACTTATTTTTAGCACGAATTTATATTTTCTTTTTGTTTAAATACATAACATTAATATTTACTCAACAATATCAGTTTTTTATATTATTTTCGAAAAACAGCCTGCAACGCATAAAAAGTGGGTTCAAAAGTGGCTTAACTATAGCTAAAAAGTGTGTACAATTTTTTGCATTGCCCAGTGATAAGGCCCATGTATATAGGTATATGTATGTATATATAAATATAGGTATATTTACATATGTATTTATATACTAAGAGTATGATTTGAGCCGCTTTCAACAAAATTAAGTAAATGGAACACATATCAATACACATGTTGGGATAAATGGCCAGGCACAGGCATAGGCATTTATTCCAGGTGTGGGTGGGACAAACAGATAATAAACGATGGGAAAAACGATTCCTTTTGCCACTTGTTTGTCTGACTCTGACTTCACCTTGACTAAAGTACACGGGGGCAATGCAAAAAAAAAAAAAACAAAAAGCGATCATGAAAAAAATCGACTGGAATGATAACAGTAGTAAAAAAATATAACATGCAAATGCTTTCCCACAGTTTACATCCCAAGCAGAGCGTGTGAATCGTCGTCGGGGCAAACATGTTGAAGCTACGTAACATCTTGTCGGCGGCCAACAATGCCGGCCCAATCGCAGTGCGGTAAGTTTAGGTTGAAGAATTAATTAATTGGGCAGCGACTACGATATGCACACATACATACATTGCTGCAGGCGATAAGCACTTGTATATCGTATTCATATATTTGATTACTTTTGCAGCTCACTTTCAACCAGCGCCAGCTGCAAGGACTCAGAGTCGTGGTTCTCCAAGCTGCTGGTGCGGAAGATCGAGCCGACAAAGGAGTCGCACAGTCGCATGCTGAGCGACAAGGAAATCATATATGCATTGCATACGCACAACGTGCGACCCGATTCCATGGGCAACTATCTGAATAATTAGTGAGTGGCAAATCGGATCAGATAAGTTAGGTTCGCTAAATTCTCTCTCTCTCTCGCTCTCTCTCTCGCTCTTTTGCAGCAAAAACACCGTGGCCCTAATCAATGAGAAGAAGCGGAACCTTTCGTGCAAATTGGTCGCCTCATGGACTGTCCAGGTGGGCGACATGGACCAGTGTCTGCATTTGTGGAGATATACGGGCGGCTTTGAGAAAATCGATCAGGCCAAAGAGGATCTGTGGAACGATCCCGAGTATTTGAATTTAATGAACGAGCGCTCGAAATTCTTGCGCTCACGCCATCTGCAATATCTGTTGGCCTTCAGCTATTGGCCACAAATCGAAAGCCGGTCGGGCAAAAACATCTACGAAATGCGGCAAGTTGCTAAATGCCCGATTCCCAACCATTTGATATGGTATTTATATTGCAAATTTTGTGCCCGTACAGATCGTATCGACTAACCCCGGGCACCATGATCGAATGGGGCAATAACTGGGCGCGTGCCATTAACTTCCGCAAGCATAACAATGAGGCCTTTGCTGGATTCTTCTCACAGATTGGCCGACTCTATAATGTCCATCACATTTGGTGTAAGTGACGGCCACATTCCATATTTGTTTATCAGCTAAACGTTTCCCTGTCTGCAGGTTACAAATCGCTGCAGGATCGCAAGGAGACCAGAGAGGCGGCCTGGCGCTCACCCGGCTGGGATGAGTGTGTGGCATATACCGTGCCACTGATTCGCGAGATGCACTGCCGCGTCCTGGCGCCCACTGAGTTTTCGCCCTCACAGTAAATGGCGTGTCTATGCAACTGGAATGTTTCAATCTGCAGACCGGCTCTGTGTCTAACAATTTGATTTTAAATGCTGTGAAACATGAGTAACAAGTAATGTTGTCCCCCTATTTTCCCTCTAACCCTCCCCTCCCTTCTGTTGAAAAAACTTGTATATAATGCCAGCATTGAAATGCTATCATTTTTAGCTCTTATTACTTAAGATAAAAGTGCATTTTTGTTGTCAAACATCTTTGTGGATATAGCAAATAAAATGAGAAAAATAATCAAAGATTAATCAAAAATCAAAATGATCAGAAAATATATATGAAAATTGCAAATGTAACTATGTACGATAAATAAATTGTGAACGAATTGCATTTACTCGCATCTGTTTAATACTCATTTTAACTAATTTAATATAGTTATATCAAGTAGTTAGCACAAAATGATTCGTACACTGAGATAAAAACGTATTTTATAGTTATAACTAAAAAATATTGACTAGCATATTCGGATGTTACATTCAATATGTGCAGAAATATTCAACTTTTACAAATGTCTGTGAACAATCAAATTTCTTGCTGCAGCTCCTCTTCAAATATGTACATATAACTTAATATAGCCAATTCCCTCTGCATGTTTCTATATGCATATATCATATCATATCGTATATAAATCAAGAAAATTGATCATTCGAGAATGCCGAGAACTCAAAATCATGCGCTATATTCTAAGCTTAGACAAACAAAGATCAATTTACACATTTGAATTTGAAAACTATAAGAACTCAATTCCCATGGCAGCTTTTTGATAAGTTATCCGGGCTTGATAGGCTTGTGCTCATGCACATATGCTAGAAACGTAGAAAATATATGAGCTAATAAGCATAAGCTAGAGACAAGACAGATATTTGATATAGATATCCGATCGGACCCACTTTGATATATATATATATATATATATAGCGTAGGTTGCATAGAAACAAACAGGCAGCCGACTATGGCTATATGGATGCGGCTTTTGATGCTCTTCAGGAATATGTACATACTTAATGGGGTCTGCTAGGCGTTACACATATCGTGACAATATTATAATACCCTTGTAAAGGTATAAGACAATGATAAGAATACTATATTGGAGATTGCTATCGTCTGCGCCAAAAAGGTGCTGAGGTATAGCAAATTTGTGTATATAGCAAGAATGTGGGAACAATTCGTGATGAATGGGTCTAAGCATCTATGGCTTTATTCATGCATAGTTGGGTTAATTGCTTATTGGGAGGAGATCGTTTTGTCTGTCTGCTGACGCACAGTCTTTAGGTGCTTCTTGCCCTGCAAGTGCTGCTGCAATATGGATATGTGATTCATGGCCTTATTGCATAGCTTGCAATAATACGACCCGGAAGGTGTACGATACATGGATAGGTCTCCATTTATGTCGCTGGCGACCGCAGCGGCTAGTGAATGCTGCTGCTGGCCGCCGCTTGCGTCAAGAGTGGTCGCCTCCTCCTCGAGGAGCTGCTTGCGTAGATTTTTCTGGTGCTTGGCACCGTCGAGATGCATTTTGATTTGCGATGCGGATGTTACGCTGATTTTGCATACTTTACAGGTGAGGCTTTCATCCACAACAGGCATCTTAACTTCCAGCTGCTGCTGCTGCTGCTGCTCTCCATTGGTGGCCAGTACCTCCTGCAGTTCTGCTGATGCCGCCGCCTTGATGAACAGCTCGCCAATGCCAAAGCGACAGTCGTCGGTAACAAATTCCGCCTTTGTGCCAGTGCGCACCCATTTGCCCTCCTCATTGTAGAAACCAGCTCCAGACGGCTTTGAACGCTTCTGTACCACCAGCTGATGCTTGCGCCCGGCATAGTGCTGGCGGGCATGGGTCATCGATGTGAGCGCCAGGTCGCACAGATTACAGTGGAATGCATTCGGGCCTGTTGGGCCCTGTTTCACGAGGCGTTTGATGGGCGGCGTCTGCAGGCCCACCTCGGTGTAGTTTTTGGCCAGCCACGCGCTGATGTGACGATCGTGTGCCTTGGACTCGTAATGATCCTTGGCGCTTTTCATTGAGGTCATCTGTGCCTTGCATAATTGACAGGACAGCGGCTGAATCAATTTGTTCAGCTCTTCCGGGTAGCTTTCATCGCGACCCTGAAACATCGCCAAATTATTGCCCTCGCCCTCCTCTGTTTCGTTTAGCTTCCTTTTCAGCTTGCGCTGCGTTACAACCGCAGGAATAGATTCAGTATCCTTCAGCTCAACCGAATCGGTCTCCATTTTTGTCACTGGATTTTCCTTCCCGGAACGCAGCAAACGCTTGGCACTGACTGAAGGCGCAGTCAGCTCAACGTTGATAATCTCACGAATCTTTTCCGGCTGGGCTCCCGGCGCTGTTATTAGCGGTATTTGATAACCAGTCAGGTATTCGGAAGTCATTTTTCTAAGACCGAACGTAAGGTTACTTAAAATCTATTTAAAACAGTGCTAGTGATGTGCACAATTCTCGTGTGCCCCACAGCGCAGGCTCTAAAGTTATCGACACGGCACCCATCACTAAATTTACAGTGGGCCGTTGCATGTCATAATGCGAACTTCCTGTCAATTCTATCGATTCGATAGAAAGTTTTCAATCTCATGGCGCTGCCAGCAAAATGGGCAGTAAAAAATAAACTTATAAATCTTTTGGAAAATTAAAGCACTAAACGCGAATACACATAGATCTGCCCACCGTTTCATTACGCTCAGCGAAAGAAGACAACTTTAGTTCCATGTTTTTTTGTGATTTTCCCATTTTTTTTATTTATCATACCCAGTAAAATGTGGTAGGACCAAACAAAACCTTCGAATGTACGACAAGTACCATTTCAAGGTTTCTTTTGATTACATTTAACATCGAGAACCCTTTAATTGTCAGGCAACGAACGAATGATATCAGAATCTCCAGGATCGGTAATGGACATCGTGCACACGCGGAAGTATTTACCGCAGGCGGTGCCCAACTCAATGTTGGTGCCACTGTAGTGCTGGACTTCAGTTTTGGCCAACATGGCGTAGTACTCAATCTCAGACTTCCTGCAATTGTCATGAAGAATATAATGTTTAATGCCTGCCCAAAACTTGTCTGGATTTTCTATGCGTTTGGCAATCAGAAAGAGTCTCTAGTAATAAAATTCGTCACGGCGGTCGGAATTACAAAAATCATCATATACATAAGCTTAAACTACGATAACTGTTCAAATCTAATGAGAACAACTTCTTACCCCAAGCATCCACACGTATGCGTGTGTGCGTTGTTACTGGAACCATTTGGAGACGTGCGCTGTCTTACATTTCGGTGACTGCTGCTGCTGCTGTTCGAGACTATACTACTCCATAGTTTCCATCAATATTATTCATTTGGAATCATATTTCTCAGTCAGCATTAAAGAAGACTCCATATGGTTCCAATAACTACAACAACAGCTAATTATCGCTGTTCATACTTGGGCGTAATGGAAATCTACTTCTCAGTAGTATTTGCTTCTATTTCAATACCAGAACATGTTCGTTCTCACCTCAAAGCAGGCGTGTTGCTAGCGATGAGCACCAGTTTGGCCTTGCCCTGGCGCAGGGTCTTCAGAGTCTGCTTGTAGCCCAGGCAGTATTTGCCGGATTTCATAACCAGCGCCAGACGCGCATTGGTGCTCTCTAAAGCCTTCTTCTGTTTCTTTACGGCAACCATGTTGAAGGTTTTTCACAAAAACAACTATATGCAAATAAGAATAATAACTTTAAGTAATCTTTTTCAACTTTAGACACGGAGCAAAACAACCTACCTTGGTCGAGCGACGATGGTAAAAAGGCAGAATTGCACGAAAAACGGAAACACGCTACCTCTGTCAGGGCTACAGAATATATTTACACACTTTTTTGGCAGCCCTGAGTTTAATGTCAAACAGTACAATTAATTGCATGACAGGGCTGCTTATACTAATCGATAAGTTACTAAATTGCTTAGAAAAATTCGCAATTGTATTATTGAACCACCAAAATTTGGTATAATCGCATATGTTTAATTTTTTCATCAAATTACATCCACTTTGTTGTCATCAACCAACATGGATACATGAAAATACCGCATTTGAAAAGACTTATTTTTTCGCGGTTGCGCTTTCATCATGCAACAATATCGTATGGAAATATTGACGTCATAAAAATGGCGACCATGTGAAGGCGCAAGTGTTTTCACAAACGTGCACATATACATACGCATGTCCATATGTTGTGTTTGTATGCATGTGTACAACATTATTGTGATAAATCGCACATGTAGCCGCATATAAACATGCACCGAAGGAAAACTCCAAAATCGGTGAACAAGCCGCCACCGATTCAGGCGATTCCCAAAAAGAACACATTCGATGGCGACAACGATATACAATTCGAGCTGGAGCTCTGCTGGTGTGTTCAGCAATTGCAAACAGCTTTAGACAGCGGCAAGCTGAGCCAAAAAATTGGTATGCCCTCAACTGAATAACATTAGGAAAACATTAATGAAAACACAGTTTAATAAATTAATAACACAGCGGAGGATACGGCCAAAAACCTGAAAACATTAACGAGCCAAACGGCGCCCCTCATTAAGAAGCGCCAGGTTATGAAGCTCGCCCTGGGCGATTACCGGCTAAAAATGCAACAGGAAGAGAAGAAAATGCTGCTAGGTAAGAAAGCGTAAAAAATATGTATATATACATAACTTCAGATTAAATGCAAGCCACAAAGATCCCATTGATATGCTCTAGAAGCACCATGAATAGGCCAGGCGAATCAAGCGATTCCTTAGTTTAAGCAAAGTTAATGCTAAGATTTAATATGTTTGTCAGTTATTAGTCCCAGTATTGTTTATATTATATTGATTATATCTTTATAATGCAGTCAATTCGAGAACTTTAGACAGCCTGTTCTATTATATATTGTAAATGATATTGCCTGCCTCTGGCAATCGACTTTTTATCTGTCTGTCTCCTTCTAATACGTGATACGAGTTTTTGTGCAAGATTCATATATTTATCTTCTCTCTCGTTTACATTTTAGCTTCAAAGCAAATCAAATTTACTCCAGCAGCCGATGCGAATAAGAAGTCAAGCTTTGTCAAGAAGTCGGCGCTGCTAACATCCGGCAAGGATTTTCGCTTTGACTTTGCGCTACCCAAGGACAACAACAACGAGCCAGATGGAAGCCCACCGGCTGGCCAGCCCGTGGCAGCTCAGGCTGATGCGTCCGCGCTGGGCAGCAGCCTGCTAACGGGCAATGGATCCCAGTTCAAGTTCAATTTTGCTATTGATAATGCGCCCGAGGATATCAATTTCGAGGGCTTAATGTTAAACAGCTAATAGGTTAAAACAACAACAAAAATAAAGTAGTTACTATATGAATTATAAGGAATGTAAAGGCAAACGAGGGTTAGTTATTTTGGTTTCGTTTGGATGAAATGTCAAAGTTCATTCTTAAATACTTTTTATTGTTTCTGCAAATACAATCAGAGCAGTGTAACTGTACAATATCAAAATATGATTCGGCGGCATTGTCTGCTATATATATATATATATATGTATGTATATGTATATGGGGAAAAATATTAAAACCAACTGAAGAAGCTACGTTTCAATGACGCGAACATAAGCCCGTTGACAATGTTTTATCAAATTGACCGCCAGTTTGTTGTTGGTAAACTTCAATTGTGTCGCCCTCTTCCATTTCTAGGGAGGTAGGTGTGTCGTTCTCATTGATCGGCTGTCCGTCGAAACGAAATCGTACCACTTGCATTGAAAGGCCCTGTAAAACAGAAAGGAAAACCGAACAGATGAGCATATGTAATTTGATTTTGGATTTTGGAAATGCAAGACTTACAGCTCGGTCACAATAGGCGTTCATTAGTTTACGTAGAGGCGTGTGTTTCTTGATCTTGAATTGAACGACCGCATTATCCTGGCCCAACACCTTCAGGTTGATGTGCTCGGTTTCAGTCTACAACAATATACATACATATATTATCAATAAATACATAATGCATTAATATTAACAAGAAACTGCGGGGCAGACATTGTCATTTGGCCGCATGCGAATGCAACTCTTCAAAAACAAAAATTGGCGGCATTTTTTTTTTTTTGCCGTAAGAAATCGTTAAATTGAAAATTGAAAATAAATGTACGCTAATATTTGAATGCCGTGCTTTAAATGCTTAAAATGTTCCATTTTTAATTTTTGTTTGTCTTTGTATGTGTGCGTGTATATACATAGATGTATATACACAACACACACCGGCTTTATTTCGCACCATGTACAACACGTTCGCGCATTGTTGCATTTTGTTATTCACGCCTCGGTTTCCCTGCCAAATAAATGTTGTTTGTCAAAGTACATACCTTTTTTTCCTCAGACATTTTTAAGTTTTTTTTTTTTTTTTGGAGTTCTGCTAATGTATATTATAGAGCAGATATTATTGAGGAGTGTGACAACTACAACCAACGTTGTCAGCGAAGTGAGTTTGATACAACAACAAAATCAGCGATGACCGATAACCGCTAGTGTTTTGATGTTCGCATTCTGAGCCAGTTCAATTGAACTGTTCTCGGAGCTGAGCTCAAAATGTCAGCAAAGTCAATTTGAAAACAAATGAAAGGCAAGGCAAAGCAAAAAAGTGCTGCGCTGCTCAGTTCGGAACTAGAATTATTAAAGTTGTTTCTGGTGAACTGAACTATTTTTCGTTGACAATGAAGGGTATTCCCATCTTTGATAATTATATGAGTCTGTTAATACCTTAACAAAGATCATTTATTCTGCCAATTCTGTTTATTTAATCAATCCTTGCCCCCGTTTTTAGTCTTAAATAGGCAATTGGCATTTTTGAATAATACGATAATCTTTATTCTATTAAAGGTAATATGAAAAATACTCAATATGGAAGTTATTACTTTTCTATACATAATACATGCATATATGTATGTATATAAATCTATATTTGTTCATATAGAGATATATGTATACATATATGTATATGTATATGTTACATTTACAATATTAACTCTATATTTATGTACACACGTTTTGCTTTTCTTCTTTTTCTTCTTGTTGTTTTTTATTTTTTTAATTGATTGAATATATTTGTTTTTATACTAAGTTCGTGTACATACACATTCATACATATGTACATCTATAGCACTTTGAATTCAATGTATGTATGTATGTAGGTTTATCTTTTATTTTTTTATTTTTATTTTTTATTGTATTCACTGATATGCATTTATTTAATTATTAATTGTTACACACATATGTATGCATATAATGTATCTATGAGTAAAAACATATTACTCGCAAGCAAAGCTGTATGTATGTATGTACGTTATGTATGTATATATGTATGTGGCTTTAATTTTTGTATGAATAAAATGCCAATATATTCCCAAAATCGTATTTCTAGAGGAAATACGACTATGGAAAACGGAATGGCAGATTGATCTTCCAGACTGATTATCACACAGATCACACCGACATACATGCATACAGATACAAAAAAATATAGATGGATATTCTATATAATCGCACTCTGTGTACACACATACATGCATACATATGCTTATACATATACAATTGCTGAGCATTATTTGATTTACATGTTAACACATACACATATTTATTGATTCTTGGAAAAAGGATATCTAAAATTCTGGTTCACTTACACATACATACACACATACGCGTACATATGTACTAAGTATAGTTATAATGCACATTTAGATGTTGAAAAAGCTTAGCAATTAAAATTGAAGTTATCTAAAAATATATAAAAAATTACAATCATAAATGAATTGTCATCTAACTACTTACATCTTAATTATACGTTACATACTTCAAAATCGTTTCTAGACATATGATTCAAATTTCTGATATATATACATACATACAGACGTATGTACACACATATATTCATATAGAAACACACTCCGAGGTATAAAAAGCGTTTTTTTTTCTTCAATTTTTTCTTTTTTTTTACTACATAAAGTCGTGTGTAGCTGGGATAAGACATGAAGAACCGTGTACACATATTATAATAAAGATTTAAGTTTTTTTTTTATAAATTCTGATAGTTTCAGCTGAATATATGTATGTAAGTACATTTGTTATTTGTGATGCACTAACGATGTACATAAGCATGTACAATACTTGAGTTCAATTTTGCTTTGCTTTTCTTTTTGTATTGTGTGTTGTCAATATAATAAAATATATATAGTATGTCCGATATATGTATATATTTGTATGTCTATCTATATATATATATATATCGTGTGTGTGTGTGTGTGTGTGTACATATATGTATATATAGATGATCTATATAGATAGTAGCTGAATACCCGCGCTAACTAGAGATGAGCAATTTTATCATTTTTGATCTATTATAGGTGTTTTTTCCTCCTTCTTCTCTTCTGTAATTTGCCATGTATGAATACTGCGCTAAACTATGTACAGTTATGCAATATAATAAAGTTTTCATTTTATTTACATCATTTATTAAGATTTGTATTTGATTTGCTTTTCTCTTCTGTTTTATATTTATTGTTGTAGATGACTTTGTTGGTAGGTAGGCGGCTTTAACCATGGTTTCTTTCATTTATGGCTATTTCCTATAACTAATTACATTCATTTCTGTGGGTCTAACGTACATGCATATACATACATACATATATGCATAAGTATGTACATTTGTATGTTGTATGTAGTTCTGTACTATGTACAGTCGTGGGTAAGAACTTATAGTGGGGCATACAGAGGCATTTATGTATTCTCTCTTCTCGCTTCTCAACACTGATTTGTGTTTTTTTTTTTTTTTTAAATTATTTATATTTTTTTACTCCAATAACATTTAACTACACAGAGTCGCATTTGTCTGCTTGGCTGTCTTACATTGGTATCACAATTGGAGAATGCCTATCAAGCAATCGGTTGTTTTTTCTACTATTTATTTATATGTTATGATTTTTTTTCCTAATAATTAGTATTGCACACCTATGTATAGGTGCTTATATTGAACAATACCACCTCTCTCCCTCTCTCTCTCTCTCTCTCTGCCGCTCCCCTGCTCGTAGAGCCCATCTGCTTCCTCTTGCTCAATGAGGCTTATCTGTTACGGAATACGGAAGTGGAACTGGTGGCAAATAGAGTTTAGTTGTACATAGATACATATGTAGTTAATATAAAACTGACTTATCCAATACATATATATATATATATATGTATATATATATATATATTGATTTATATTAACAAGATAACTAAACGATTTTATGAACATTGAGAATCCAGTATATGTCTCATGTTCTTGCTATATATATATATGTATTCATATTCATATTCATATTCATATTCATAATCATATTCATGTTTATATAAAAGTACAAAATTGTTGTTGTTGTGTTGTTGTTGTTGTTGTTGTTATTGTTGTTGTTATGCACTAGTTTATCTAAATGATTTTCTGCTTCTTGTGTTTCGTGTCATATTGTGAATGCATATTTGTATGTTTTGTAGGTACTTTTGTACTACCATGATCAAAATACTGGGATCAAATGAACTCTATAGCGAAATCGGAACGTCAATAGCTATCATATTCCAGCTCCCGAGATATAGAGAGCGTGCGAGAGAGAGAGAAAGAGAGTTCGCAATCATTAATCCACATCGCATTTGATCACAGTAGCGTTTAGTTAGAAGCTTGTTTAAGGTACTTAAATGTTTCTTTAAATTTCCATTTCAGTGGTAAGTTTAGATACACGCATAACACGTGTATATTATGTTGTAGGTACATATTCGAATACAATTCAATAGTTGTTAAAATTAATTCTTAGTTTTTTTCTTCTTCTTCTTTTTTTTTTCGCATAACAAAACTTAATTATCGTTATAATCAAAAAGGAGAAACAATAATAATTGATAAAATCACGCACATTTATCGAATACAAATACTTAACAAATTTGACTATTTTCGCTATATAGAAGGAATTGTTGACCGTAGTTATAATGTGAATATCTTAATTGTAGAGTAAGAGTATGCCTCGAATTTGTTTGCTTTTCGGTTAGAATTCAAATTAGGGTCTTTCCCAATCGTATTTACATATGCATATGTCAAGTTATAAGGTAAAATAAGTACACATACATACACACACATATATAAACATAGTTATTATTATTAAATTTTTTCTTAATATATGCATGTATGTATGTGCAAGCTATAAATAAAAATGCTTATTAGTTTTGGTTTGTTATTTTCATAAATTTCTCGTTTTTGTTTTGTTTTTTGTTTTTGGGAAATTAAAGTAAACATTTATATAGCACAAGGTATATTACGTAAGCCCGTATAAAAAGTATAAAATTGTTTTTTACTTTACTTGTTTTTATAAAAATTACAAATGTTCATATAAAAATAGATATACATATAAAAAAAATGAAGTCAAATATTAATACACACACACATATAGCACACAAAAAAATTGTTTAATTATAACATCATCATCCTCCTTGTCTTCGGCGAACCGAAGCTGGCATACCCTACGATAACTGGGCTCAGGAAATGCCTTAAAGAGATTTCTATCAATTTAAAAAATACTCAAGATACAGACTTTGATTTTGAATAACATCTTAAGCAGACAAGTTGAGAAATACAAAAGATATAGACTATGATTCTGAACAAAATTGTAAGCAGACAATTTGGGAAATACAAAAGATATATGACAATTGATCGGACAATCAAAGATGTACAAAAGATATAGACTATGATTTTGAATGAAATCGTTATCTTGCAACTCTTGTCAAAAAATTGTCATTTAACAAATAAATCGATTAGGTTTTACAAAGGGTATGCCATATCGTTCCTATGTTATTTTGTGATACACTTTTTGTTTTGTTTAGTTTTTAATCCTTGACTTTTATCGTGATACAAAACAGAACTTATCTCTTAAGTTATAACTAATTAAAAACTTAATGTCAGGGCTATCCAATTTTTGGATTAGAGTTTTGATTTTATTTTTTTGTTATTTTTCTTTTGGTTTTGTTTCCTTTTTTTTTTTTATATAGATATATAACAATTGGAAAACAATAAGTTTAGAAATTCTAAAAAGGATCTCGATCTAGTTGTTTTCTTTTTCTTTTTCATTTTCTATTTTTTTTTCTGCTGTCTGCTGTCGTGCTTTAAATGTTTGCCTGTATGCATTTATGCATGTATTTCTATGTATGCCTATGGCTACATGTATGTGCATACAAACATATGTCAGCCACACAGATATCTAAATATGTACATCCGTTAAGTTTTCAAAGCGTTTTGGTAAATAAATTTCACATTACCATATAGATACATAGGTATATATATATATATATATATATATAGAAGTAATGTAAATAACAAAATAAATGTGTGCGAATGTCAGCCCGAATATGCCAATTACAGTTACATACACACACACCACACACACACACATATATATATATATGTAAATATATACACACGGATGCATGGGCATGTGTGTATATATCTGGTATATATGTACATACTATATAGATGCATATTCGGCAAGTACAGAGCACAAAGCTTTACATACACTATCTATCCATTTTGTATATTTTTTGCTTGTTTGTTTGATGTTCTTTTTGTTGCGGTTGTTTGTTTGTTTGTTTGTTTGTTGTTGTTGTTTGTTTTTTAAGTAATACATGAGTTAGGATATTGCTATTTCAAATGATTGCAGTGAGACTTGCTACATCGTCGCTTCATTTCCTTCGTGTCCGTCTCAGCACTGCCCTGACTTTTGTACATCGTTCTCACAATACTATATATATATTCTAGATGGGGGGAGGGAGGGTGAATATTTTTTTGGGGCCACTTTCTGGTGCCCATTCAACGTTAATCTTCAATTCAAATTAAGATGCCTTTGGCCGCTTGCTTGTGGAACATACTCCGTTCGTCGTCTCTCTGTTGGTTTGCATATTGTTTGGCGATTCTCGTGCTTTTGTCTCTTGTGAGTCACAGTGTGACCTTAGCTGGGTGGGCGAGGGTAGCTGCCTAGTTGGCAACCAGTAGCTGCTGGTAGGAGGATCCGGTGCCATAGAACGAGCTGAGGCCATCAATTAGCTTACTGTTGCTAGCTGCAGCAGCTGTCGAGTCCTGATTGTTGGCTCCGTTCGATGTGGCAGCTGTTGTGGCAGCCGTGGTGGCAGTGGCAGTGGCAGCGGCAGCGGCAGCGGAGCTTGCCGCAGATACGGTCGATGCAGCCGTTGCAGCGATTGTGTTCAGACCGGGCACAACGCCAGCTGTAGGCGTGGCTATCGGACTATTATCTGTTGATGATTCGCCAGTAGCTGCGCCGCCAGCTGAATTGCCAGATTCCTCGACACTAGCGCTAGCAATGCTGCACTCCGTCTCAGCCAAAGCAGCTATCGCTGCTGTTGGTATGCTCCAAATTGTTCTTAAGCTGTTGCTGCTGCTGCTGCTGCTGTTGTTGCTGTTGTTGTTTTTGTTGTTGCTGCTGTTGTTGCTGCTGCTGCTGCTGCTGCTGTTGTTGTTGTTGCTGTTGTTGGTGCTGCTGCTGATTGATCAGTGTGGTGCCGCCTGGGGCATTGGCATTGGCATTGGCATGACCATTGGTAAAGTAACATGGTTCCAGGTAAGTACTAAAGCTATTGCCAGCCGCAGCTGCAGTGGCAGGTCCAGCGCCAAACAGGCTAAGACTGGCCGCATCCGCATTGAAATGTGGCTCAAAGAGGCTGCGCTGCCCGTTGTATTGTGGATACAGACCCATTGCAATGTTGGGATAATAGAATGGATCAGCAGCAGCAGCAGCAGCAGCAGCAGTAGCAGCAGCTGCCGGCACGCCGCCAGACGAGTTGCTTTGATTGCCACCCAATGCCAAAGGATTGGGTGAAAGGGAACGCGCCGGCGATACGGCATCCAATGCACCAAATGCCGAAGCCGATGAGCCGCCAACGCTGTGGCCATGATGCAGCTGCTGCTGCATGGCGCGCTGCTTGATATAATTGGAGAATTCAGTGGGCGACATGCGATACGAGCTGCTGCATAGAATGTGAAAGAATTTGGATTGAGTTAATTATCATTTAAGGGTTAATCGCTGTTAGAGAAGGGTTTTTTGCCCACCTATTGGTACGCTTGGAACTAGTCTTTAGTTTGGTGCTTCCGAATTTCGTCTGAGCAAAGGTGGCCGTTGTGAATGTTAGCGGAGCCTGAGCAGCGCGCTGCACAAAGGCGGCGGCTGTAGCGGTGGCAGTCACATTGTTATTGCCAGATAGACTGGCACCGCTGGAGCCACCGCCATTGGGATTCGGGCTGCCCTTGTATGTGGGCGAGCTTGATGCGGCCGAGTGCGGTGAGGAGCCAGACGGCGGCAATGGCAACGGTAGCGGCAGTGCCTTTGGGCTTAAGCTCAAATTGTTCATGGTCGTGTTGACCACATCGATGGGACGAAAGCACTGTGCCTCTGGATTGAACGTTTTTGTAACCTCACGATCGGCCGAGTGGCTATCCTCATGATTATCATTGTTCTCCGTATAGAGTATCTGTGCGTTAATATGCTTGTTATTGTTCTATATCCAATTATATATAATATATGCATCTACCTTAACAGCGCCCTTCTCGCCAATGCGATACGAGACCTCGCCCGGATCAACCCAGACGGACAGCTCATTGGGTAGATTCTCAAGTATATCGCTTATAGGTACACCACTTTCTCGAGCAGCACGCGCCAGCACCGAATCAATGGGATCACCAGTTTTGAGACAACGATATGCCGAACCCTGAAAAGTGACACATATATACATAGACATATATATATATATATATAAATCATATTTGTTGTGGCTTTGTGGGGAGCTCACCTTGAAGGGTTTCTCTGGATACCAGTGTCCTTGGAATTTGTCGCGTAGAGCCTTCTCCAGTTCCTCGCCAAATATATTGACCCGTCGTCGTGGCAATTTATTATATAGATACGAAATGACAAAATTCAAAGCCACTTGTATTTCAATATGCATTTTGATAGCAGCCCTTGCGCTAAATACGATCGCTTGATCTTCTATATAACTATCCGGCCACTCGATTTGTATCTCAATCGGAGATTGGCTTTCCTTTTTGTTGTTGTTGTTGTTGTTGTTTTTACGTTTTGTTTTTTTTACTGCGATTTGCGAATTTCTGCAATTAGCCGCTTGCGATTTGCCAATTGCGAATTCTGAATACTCTACAGTCTGGGGTTTTTTTAATATGTCTATTTTTTTATTATAAAGAACGTTTGCACTTATCATCCGCAATATGATAGAAATTTGGAATAGTTTTTTTTTTCAAAATCTTTGGCTCCTTAAGTGTGTGTGTGTGTATTTGGTTGTAATTGTTATTAATTTATTGGGGTTTTGGTTTTTTTTTTCAATAGTGCTGTTATTTTTTTGTTATTTTTTTTTTTTGTTTTTTTTTGCTTTATGTTCAATGTTATGTGTATTGCACGTTGTATTGAATATATTTATTAAACTGTTTCTCTGTGTCAAATGAGAATTGTGTTTTTCTCTCTGGTTTGACTAAGTGTTCCCGGGTTAGTTGATTTTATAAGCGTAGATTACTAGATCGTCCCATAAATATGTAGACATATACATATGCGTGTAGTCCTATGTGTACGCATACCTTAAACATATATCTCTTCTAGACGGTAATGGCTTTTCATCGGTGTTATTTACGTATATCTCTCTCTCTCTCTCTCTCTCTTTATATATATATATTTATATGTGTGTGTCTATGTATATATATATTAATATATATATATATCTATTTATATCTATATTTAGCTATGCGTGTATGCATGTATTAGATGTCTATTGTTTGTCTTTACAATTGTTTTTTGGCAGAACTGTGTTAGATTTCTCAGAATTATCTGTATCCTTAATGCCAAGCGGTGTGCATTAATCATAAGAAATATATGAATGTTGTTATGTACCTGCAAAACAAACGAAAAAAAAACATTGACAAATGTTATGTGATTCAAATTGATGTAACTTAAAAATATATATACCAAATATTGCATTAAGTTATTCACAAGAAGTCAAGGCTCAGAGTTCTTGTTTTTACAAGTTTTTACAAATCTCTATTCATGTTTTACCCTATAAATTTCACTTTGGGCACAATTTCATTTGTAAGCAGTACTTGAGTTCATGAAAATCGCATAGAGAGGTGATATTTTAAAGAAAGTAAATAGTAGCATTATATTATTCAGAAGATGTCAAGGCTCAAAGTTCCAGTTTATCATACTACAAGTTTATACATCCCTCTATTTAAGATTTTCCCCGTAAATTGCACTCTGTGCACATTTTCATTATGAAAATCGCATAGAGAGGCGCTATTTTAAAGAGTGCAAATAAAAAAAAAGAGCGCTTGATAAGAAAGAGAGAGAGAGAGAGAGGCAGAGAGCGCAGCGCGTATGTGCGAAATAGTCAAAGAGAGAGAAAGAAAGAGAGAGAGAGAAAAAATAAAAGAGACCTAAGAAACGAAGCATGTGAGAAACTAACGGAGCGAAGAGGTATAGCTCCCTTATATCATCTTCATTCATTTTTCATGAAATTTTGCCTGAAACAAACTCCGAAATGTAACTGAAGAATCCAATAATGGAAAAAAACAATGAAAGAAACAACTTAAATCAGCCAAAAATCCAAATTTTCAACAAATTTCATTTTTATAAAAAACACTAAACAAAGCACTCGTTTCTTTTGATGTAAATTTAACCCACCCAAAAACATGTTGACATCGTTTTAACACAGACTCAATAAACAAACAGAAACACACAAAAACACAATAAAACATAAAACGAAAAAAAAACACAAACAAAACTAAATAAAAAATATAAAAAATTAAAAACACATTCAGAGAAAATTTGGCAAAAAGATGGCTAAACGAATGCGCGATACAGATGAAAAATTCCAACGCAAGAAAAATATGCGATTGCGTTTCAAGAAATTGGTTCGTGCTGTCATGTTAAATCAACAATGGCTCGATGAGCCCGAGGAGCAGGGCATCGTCATGAATGCCAAAAAGAATGTCGCTTTTCTCATCAGGCAAAAGCGCAAAACTGGGCTCCTGACTGTTGCGGTAAATAATGCACTCGGCATCTAGTACATTATACTTTTTGATTTAAATATACCCTTCGGTCGTCTTTTGGACAGGAGAAAGCCTTGCTTCGTACTCCACACGCATTCCGCACTATAGAGGAGCGCAAGAAGTTGTGCCTGATTATATCTGGCTTGTCGTGCTTCAGTAATATACCGCCGGTAGGTGTTACCTATTTGCCCGATAGTATGGCTCTAATGTTTGGGCTTGCAGAAACTGCGGGCCAGATTGATACCGGTTCTAAAGTTTGCCACTATCGGCGGAGATCGTACGCTCATCCGGCAAGGGGATCAGCCGATTTTTGTGTACTTCATGATCTCCGGCGAGGTCGAAATGAAGAAATCCATCTACGACAAAGTGAGTTCGTCTAAATGATTGACTGACTGATTAGTGGAAACTGGATTGTAAATCCTTTAACGACATGAGAGTGGAAAACTTTAACGACAACATCTTTGGTCATTTCCATTCAATCGTTTTTTTTTATCTATGCCTTAATGCTTTTTCAATTTGCATTTCACCTGTGTCGACAAATCCACGACATTGGGTGAATTAAGCTTTACATTATTTTAGATGTTTAATTGATAGTTAAGGCTTTAAGCAAAACGCTTCTCAATTCGTAGCTAGATTCATATAATGATAGTTTGTTATTCATGACTTTGAACCCGAAATTTTACCCACCAATTCTTTGAAAGCCATTTCCACCAAGGTGGAATGGATTTTCCGAAAAGTGTGAACCAACACTTAAATGAATTTAAACAGCGATCTGTGAAAATTAATTTGAGTTCGTTCGAATGGTAAACAAAAGAATTGTCTTATAACCGCGCTTTTTCCGCGCTTTTTCCACACTTGCGGGTGGATTTCCCAAAAACCCCGCGTGCAGTAAAAATGGCAGCTTCCCAGCGCTCTGTGCGTTGACCAACAATCAGTCAGTCAATCAAACAGTTTTATATAAAGAAATATAATCTGCTTGCTATAGAATACAAGGAAAATCACATTGGTGTCAGAGGCCATTATTGGTGCTGGGGATATAATAGGCGAGGTTGAGCTGCTGGAGGACTGCACCAGAATAAACAGCTATGTGGCGCTATGTAAGTAATGAGATAAAAAGAAAGAAGTAGACTTCAAATTAAACTCTGCAGCGCCCTGTGAAGTTTTGTCAATAACCGAAGATGACTTTCGGAATATTTTGGGTCCTTTCATGATAAAGCAATGGCACGAAAAGAAAATGGCCCTGAGATCGCTAAACTATTTCGATTTTCTAACAGACGAACAGGTTAAAGAGCTGCCAGCTCTCTAAATGCCAATTAATTGTGTTTTATAATCCCATGCAGATTGTGCGAGCTTGTTATTACTGTCAGCTAGCACAATACGATCCGCTGCAGTCCATATACTCGGAGGACAGGGGTGCTGTTAGCTGTGTTCATTTCATTTTGAGCGGCGAATGTGTTATTTTACAGTGCCTCAAAATGCTTGTGAGTATAATTATACAGTTGATGAATATACAATCTGTTTTTCTTTTTTTTTTAGCAAGTGGTCAAGGCGGATGGCACAAAAACATTCGAGCTGATCAGTGTCAAGGAAACGGGACAGAATCTCTTTGAGAATCCCTCAAAATCGATGAGAGCACTGAGCTCATCGTTTATTGATTATGGAAGTACTAAAGATAAAATGTTGTCGGATTCGGTTTTCAATATAAACGAACTATTGGCTTCTTCGTCGGAATTCGAAGATGAGGAGGCATTGCAGCAGAAGAAAGCGGTATAAGCCACATAATTGTCATACATTTTGGCCAGTCTAAATGTAATTGTACTTTTTAGAAGCGTAAAGTGGGACTTCGTGAAATCGAGGCAGCGTGTGGATTTAATCGTGGTGATCCCGCTGACTCTGGTAAAAGAATCAAGATTACTTCGACTATGAAGCGAAAAACGACTACGATCCCGAGACGTTTGACGACATATTATCCGCGCCCGTTTCTAGCGGATGATGAATCAATGGACGAGGAGACATCGTACGACTACATAGAGGAGGATTATGTTGTGGAAGAAGCAGAAACGGATTCAGATCTAGAATCCCTGCGAAGTCAATCAACGTCGAGACGATCAACAAAAATCTCAAGAGCTTCGTCCTCGAGAAGAGGCACAGACGCAACAAGACGTTCCACAATTACGAAGCCGCTTTCGATCATAAAACAAGGTGATAAGGTAAGCCGATCTGTGGTTCGCATCGAAACGGAGAATTCTGTCGGGGTTAATTCGGAATCGGAAGATATCTCAAGCTCGGGCTCCAGCCACGCCTTCCGCATGGAGGAACCCAGTCTAATAATCGTAAATGCCAGCCAATATATATATATAAATGGGGATATACTTATTTGACTTCTTTTGTTGTTTTCAGCCCACGGAGACGCGTTTCATAGACGTGGGCTCCCTGACCTATGGCGGCATTTTCGGTTTGGGCGAGAAAATGTCGCATCGCGTCATAATGGCACGCACCGTGGTGCAGTGCCTGCTTTTGCCGCGCTACTGGCTGTTCGAGGAGGAACAGAATCCGGGCCACATCTGGAAGCGTCGCCGATTCTATCTGGAGGGCAGCATACCCTCGCGCGAAGAGCTATTCAAAGATTTTCTAAAGACCCGTCGCTGGGAAACGTTCAAACGCGACTACGTGCAAAGCACCTTGAATCCAAATAGTGCGAATAGTACACAGCCCGAAGATATACCGATAATATGCCGCATTGTTGAGACCAGAGACGATATTTAGAAACGCGTGAAGCAAAGGCCATCCAAATTATATGTATACAACGAAATAACAAAAGAAGCAAACAAAAAAGACTGAAAGTATGTCAAGAAAGATACTTATGTGAAACAGGAATATATATGTAGGTGCATGGACAGCGAGTATATTATATACTAGCCAGTGTCACAGGCTTTTGCCCGAGCAAAGCGTATTTTATGAACTATTTTACGAAAGTCAGTAAAAGACGTAATCAATCATTTATGTATGCTGAGCTATAAAATTCTTCTTGAAGCAAAATAATATTCTTCGCAAACTAACCCCCTAAACATTCCCACTGCTGAGTAAGCTACCCATAAACTTTTTAAATTGGGTGAATTGAACCGAAAATTAAAAAATAAAAAAAGTTTCTTACAAGAGTTTTCCAGCAATTTATCAGCCATGAGGGAAGCTTTTTTTAAAATCCCTACTTAATTTCAACTTTCTGGCGCAAATGGTTCGCGCTGTGCATTCAACATCAGTCAGTCAGTCAGTCAGTCAATCCAGATTGATTAAGTATCCGTTATTTCTCACGGTAATTGCTCTGGCCCGCTATTCAATGAGCAATTTTTTTTATAGCTCATGAAAAACGGCCTTTGCCTGCACTTAAGTGTATGCACACATATGTACATAAACACGCACACATATACACACAGACGCAGACACACACACCCACAGAGCTGTGCGTAAACATGATATAGCGGCAGTTGTGCCCATTGTCGCAGACAAGTGCACAGCACGATGCACCTAAATGTCAGCCGCGAATATAGGTTAACCATGGCCACCAATGAGCACGGCCAGCGCCAAAACTAGTCCAGGCGAGAGCGAAAGCCGACATGCAATTCGTAACTGGAGCAACGACGACGAGAGCTTTCGCAAAGAGCAAAGTGCCGTTTAGCTCTTGTTGTTGTTGTTGGTGTTGCTGGTGTTGCTGGTGCGTATGCGCAATGACATTTAAAAGGGTGCTCAAGCACACGCACACACAGCCATGCTCGAGTATATATGCATATATGTATATACATTCGCACACACACACGCATACACATTCAGTTAACTCGTGTTTTTTCTTTTGCTGCTGCAGCTGAGTAAAATGCATTTTATATATATATATATATATATAACATACATATGTAAATAAACATATGTATATGCTTGAATATATCTATACATATGTATCTGTATATATGTGTGTTCGCAAGACGCGCACTGGCTGAAGGCCGCACATTTCAAAGCTCAACCCAGTAGGAGACTTAGCTTAATTATAAGCACACACACACACACACACACGCACACGCACACGCATACGCACATGCACATGCATGCACATGTACATTCGTAGGCATAGCACACGCCGATTTGCCTATACACTATGACACCTAAATGAAAGACAAAGCTAATTATTTGCCATCATTCGCATTTCTTAGTTTTCTAGCATTTTATTTAAGTGTGCATTATTTTCAAATCGATAAAAATAATATCCAGATTTCTGATTTTGCCTATGAGGGTGGATTCTATTCGTATAGAACAACTTTGTATCTTACGTAAAATAGTTAAAATCTTTTACTTTCAGTTACCGTTACCAGGCTCATTAGCGTGAACTCTGTAAATTACGGTGTTCAATTATTTTACTAATAGAAACGACTGTATGTGGGTAGTACTCCAGTAAATCTAACACTTGGAGTAATATAGAGAGTGTAGCTATGTATTACGGGTATTCATTTAAAAATTTCCATTAATTTTTTAATTAATAGTACTCAAATCTACGTAAATATAATACAAAAATACATGCTCACATATATAAATATATATGTATGTATATATATATTTTATGCTGTTTTTTTTTTGGTTTTATGCAAATTCGCAATTAATTTTATTAAAGACTAGCGTGTTTTTGCTTAAAGCTTTTCCAGTCTTTTGTCTGTCATTGAGTTGCGCTTATCTCTATTTGACCTTCAGTCGTGCAGGGCTCATTGTTAGCTATCAAAGGCTTGCCCAATAATGAGAGAGACTCAGAGAGACTGATGTATGTTGCTAACACTGGAATGCCCAAGCAAATATCAATAATTTTACAACTCTATACAAGCTGCCCTGCCATTCAACCGTTAACGGTACCTTTAAAAGCACTTGCTGAAATTATATGAGTATGTGTGTATAAGTGCGATGCACCGCATGTGGTATATATATACGTGCATACATGTGTACATGAGTGTGTCTGTGTGTGAACTTGAATAAGCTCAATTTTTTTTTATTTATTTATGCACATGTACATTGATATTCGCATATACACAAGGTGCAGTCAAATCTTGGCAGAGTTGCCAGATGCTCCTAATTAATAAAACCCCTTTGGGTAGGCAATATCCGGACGCTGGCTGGCGGTTCATTATTGTTTATTTATATGCGAATGTGTACACACGATGCGTACGAGCCCGTGTGTCTGTGTGTGTGAGTATATATATAAACTATTCAGAGTTGGGTCAAAATGGCGTCGTCATACCTTTTAAATCAACCTTTAAAAACTGTTGGCCCAGATTTTATTGATTTTTATTGTGTGGCAAAGAGCAGCCGACGACGACGCCGCCGCCGACGACGACGACGCCGCCGCCGACGACGACGACGTCGACGACGACAATGACGATGGCACAGCCGTTAGACGAGTGCGAGAGGGAAAACGATAGCTGAGAGCCGAGCGAGAGAGGCGCAGATGTTGTTGTGTTTACTTTCACATGGCATTTTATGTTGGCTGGAATGTTGTTCATCATCATAGCCAACATCATTATCATGAATGGATGGATGGTTGGTTAGACGATGATGATGATGATTATCTGCTCAGTTGGTGTATGCAACAAATTGCCAAAATTCTCATATATGTACATACATATGTCCCAGAATACTTCAAGCAAAGTTCTATTTATAAAACCAACGAACCGACAGCGCTTCAAAGCTACATAATACAGTGAAAGCTCGCTTGAGCGGACACCCAGGGTTTCAAATAAATTTTGATTTTGTCCTGTCTAACAAAAAATGTCAAATATTTAAAATGAATTTATTCAAACTTGTAGGAATTACTTCATATTGATCCAAGATGAACATGATATGGAAATTTATGGCAATGGAAATACTCTATTTTGGTTGCAGAAATATCGGATATAATAGACGGGATAAATCGGATATGATCCGTTGTCTCTGCTATTTTATTTTTGCAAAAAGTATTCGAAAAATAAAAAAATGGAATAAACAAATACTGAAGATGTCTGCTGGTCACAACTTGTCCATTCATGGAGGCTTCACTGTAGCTTATAATGTGTGTGTGCTTGCGTTTATAAGCAGCGCCCCCTATAGGTCAAATAATGAGTGCTTAGATAAAAGCATTTCCCGGAAAAGGTTCCCCATGACCAGAATCTAAGCCACGTTTTTTTCTGTTATCGAGGCAAAATGTACTCAAATTATTTTATGCTAACGCGTCGACATCTTATCTATTCAATTCACCTATTATTTATCGCTTTTGAATAACGATTTGTCTTTTTTTTTCCAATTATGAAAATATACTCTAAAATCTTTCGTTCAATAGACGGCTTTTGTGTGACTAAAAATAAGGTTATTAGAAACAAATTAAATATTAATTCGCGTGTATCTAAAATTATCCATATTTAATCTAATTTAATGTTTTAAGATTCTGCTCAAAGAGCTTGAATTTAAATGAAGATTGTTTTAAGCATTATGCTGTTACTCCGAACTGTACAGTAAAATTATGAATTTTTTATAATTCTGGTATTCCTTTGTACTCTACTCTTTGTTATTTCCATACATGTGCATTGTAATACCCTGTAGCCATTGAAAATGTGTAAGACAGGGTATATTGGTTTTGACTAAAGCAGGCAGAAGGACGCATCTACGAACCCCAGTAAATATATATAAATATATATATATTCATGATCAGCATCAAACGAAGTGTAAGAGAATATGTATTGCATAAGCTGAGCTAAGAAAAAGCACAGCCGCCAAGTAAAGTGCACAGCTTGCGGCATGCACAGGGTACCGTCTAGTTGAGCACTCTTATTTGCAGAGTTTTTTTTGTTGTTGTTTTGTTTCCTTTCTGCGGTCTAGAAAAGTTTTGCATTATTACCGATATGTGGAATATGGCATATTATTGCGTATGGCACAACAAAGTGTTTACAAATGTGTTAGCTTTGGAATTGCGTGATATTATGACATTGTCGTGCAGTCAATTAAAAGTGTTAGAGTAGTTGTTGTTGCTGTTGTTGTTGTTGTTGCTTTCTGGTTTCACCAATTAGGTGGCTTTAAGTTAATTAACTCTTAAGCTGACGATTATGAATACGCAGTGATAATGGGCAGGTATGCTAGGGCATTTGCCACTCTCATATCTACATATGCGTATGTGAGTGTGAGTGTGTGTGTGTGTGTGCGTCTACGGATCTGAGTGGCCTTCAAATTGCTTGCTTGTCGGTAATTAGAGCGTACGTACAACCATATGTATATACGAACTAGTATGTACATATGTACATATGTGTAGATATGTATGCAAAGTGGGAGGACGTTTCATTTTGTTTTGTGCCACTTTGTTGGGGATTTTTTTGTGTTCCCCTTATTTTTGTTTTGCGCTTGTTTATTTTTTATGCTACCAATAACATGGGTATCTAAATATGTATGTAAGTAATCCACTTCACGTGTAACTATCAGAAACAGTTATTGTTACATCACGCTTTGTGTGTGTGTGTGTGTGTGTGTGTGTGCATGTGTGCCGCGTGTTGTTGCACTTTGATGCCTAACATCAAATTCCTATTTTTTAACTGGGAGCTGCAAGAGCTCTCACCAAAGAGCAAAGGTTGACGATTACATAAATACAAATAATTGTGAAGGAACTATTGCATATTTAAACAAATGTATTTAATTATCTGTGCATTTATGCATATCCCAAAAAATATTGCTTTTATTTTTTTCGTTGAACTTTTTGTTGTTGATCTTAAGCGTCGCACTTTTGCATTACATATGTATTAACATTGCTTGGATGTTAGCATTATGTATGTATATATATATGTACATGTGTGTGTGCATATTCTCACTTACAAAAAAAAAAAAAGAACAGTAAAGCGCAAGCCTTTTTCTATGCATTGCATAATTCCTTTTAGGTTATTTGCCGTTTAGCACATCTTTAAAAGCTGAGCGACACTAAACCACACAAATTCACACACACACACACGTATGTTTAAACACCTGAGTGTACACAAGTACTTAATATTACAAGATCGTGAATACACTAAATTAATTTCCACTCGATATGTCGGGTAACATTTTTCACTGACTTGTCTATTGCCTCTCATTTGCCCCAAAGAGCATGTACCATGCTAAGACACAAAAACAC